ATTGGACTGCCCGGCTCGGTTGGAGATGACTTGGCCGCGTTAGGTCGACTGATATCCGGGCCGAAGCATCAAATTGGCACAGGTTTTGCTAATTAGGCCGGCCCGCTTTTTAAGTGGTCGTGGTAACGCAGCATTGTGAGTTGGACTGAACGCGTGACAAGCGGCAGCGCTTTGAGCGCGAGAAAGAGGCCCTGCAGCGCCCTCTCGTGGCGATCTAGAAGGAGAACACGAAGGGAGAAGCAGAGTAATAAGCGAAAAAAACAAATCCCAGCACATGTTCTAGACCAGGGGTGTCCAAAGTTTTTTTTAGTGAGGGCCAATTACAGAAAAATAAACAAAAGGCCGGGCCACACACTAAGAGGTGACACATTGACACGTGAATACTGTGTGTATTTCTAACTCACTTATAATGTGAAAAACATTGCACTCAGTGGGAGCAGTGATGTTGTCCTTTGGATTGAAGGATGGCTTACATGTCAGGAGAAAGTTTGGTGGTTGAGACACGAAGGACTTCACAGAGATGGCTATCAGTTATTCTGGTTCTCAGTCTGCTTTTGTTCTGATTTATCAGATAAAATGTTTGTTCACATATGTATGTTGAGCCGAACAGGATCATCATTCTTTTTGTGTGGCGTCTCATCACAGGAAACTTGGCATTATCTAAACTCTGATAGAAGTCAGGGAGGGAGAGAAGCTGATGTTGACTCTTCAGAGAATCATCACATTGCATTTCAATCAGTTCTAACTGCAGACTCTCTTCCACTTCTTCTGCATCCACCAGGAAGGGGGTCGAGAACAGCTTGATTTGTTTTTCAATGACAGAAAAATCTTGGAAACGCTGGTTGAATTCTGTCACAAGAGATACAATCACAGACACATATTTCTCCTTTTTAGCAGAAAGGTCGGCCTTTGGAAAAGCAGACTTGATTTCAGACAGCGCAGGGAAGTGTGCAGCATTAAAGCTTCGTAGTTGTGTCTCAAACAGGCGGAGCTTTACACAGAAGGCTTTCATGTGCGCATACAGATGTGGCACCAGCTGTGCTTTGCCTTGTAGGTTCTTGTTCAGTGTATTCAGATGATGAGTAAGATCAACTAAAAATGCCAGGTCTGCCAGCCACAGAGGGTCACTCAGTTCACGAAGAGGTCGGCCCTTCTCTTTCAAAAACTGGTCGATTTCTGATCTCAGCGAATAAAACCGCTGCAGCAACAGAGCCGCGGCTGAGCCAGCGCACATCAGAGTGGTAGAGTACATCCCCGTATTCAGCATCCACATCAGATAGGAAAGCTTGAAATTCTCTGTGGTACAGTCCTCTAGCTCGAATTATGTTGACAGTTTTTACAGCAGTGTTCATCACATCGCCCAGCTGGACAGTCTTGGCACACAGTGCTTCTTGGTGGATCATACAGTGCATCCTAACAGCCTCACCTCCGCTCTCTTTTGCCTTGGCGCACACCATCGATGCCATTCCTTTGCGCTCGCACGTCACGGCCGGAGCTCCATCCGTTGTTACTCCACAGAGCTTGTCACATTTAAGCCCCATCTTTTCAACTGCCTCTGACACAGCTTCAAAAATATCTCTACCCGTCGTTGTGCCTTTTAGGCTCATCATATCAAGCAGTTCCTCCGTACAGCAAAAATTATCATCTACTCCCCGCAAAAAAAATTAACAGCTGTGCGGTGTCTGTGACATCTGTGCTCTCGTCGCATGCTATCGAGTAAAAATCAAAAGCACAAGCTTTGTCTCTCAGCTGAAGTTTCAAGTTAGCTGACAAGTCCTCGATTCTCCGCACCGCTGTATTTCTGAATAAGCTCACGCTGTTGAAATCCTGCACTTTTTCCGGGCACATTATTTCTGTGACTTTGATGAGGCACTGCTTTATGAAATCACCGTCTGAGAACGGTTTGCCGTGCTGGGCAATACATTTTATTGACTTCATAGCTTGCTGTTGTGGCGTTTACCTGCATTTTGTTAGCACGAAAACAAAATTGTTGTTGAGCTTGCAGGCTAGCCGCCATTTGCTTGACTTTCTGTGTTCGTTCGGCACCGGTGTACAATGTGTAGCTCTGATGTTTGGTCTCATAGTGCCGACTGACATTATACTCTTTCATCACAGCAACATCTTCATTGCAAATCAAACAGACACACTTTCCGTTGATTTATTTGAAAAAATATTCATTTTCCCACCGTGTTTGAAATCTTCTACACTCACTTGCTATTTTGCATTTCTTCGGTGCTGCTATTTCTGGTGACTCGCGGTAAAAGTTTTGCTTTGCTTAATTTTGTTTAGTGGAGAGGCACGGTTTTCCGTGGCTGGCTCCATCTAGTGTTGAAACTGAGAAGTGCAACAGAGTTGAGCTCAAGCTTCTTGTGCGGGCCATATTCAATTATTTTTTTCAGAATTTGCTGCGGGCCAATAAAAAACTGGACCGCGGGCCGCAGTTGGCCCGCGGGCCGTAGTTTGGACACCCCTGTTCTAGACTCTAGAGGTATAAGTGCAACCCAGGGTTGTGTGTTCCGGGCCTGTCCGGCACAAGTTGGAAGAGGCTTCATGAATGACAACAAAAAGCTTTATTTGAACGCGTGGTCATTCATTACAGCGCTCTTGTAACGTACGAGGTGAATAATAAGTGAAATGTTTAAAAGCGCCCTTCAACAATCGTTCTCATGGCGCTATGCATAATGAAGTCAGAAAGACGGTTGAAAATAACTAAAGAGAGAAATCCATTCGGTACGACAGTCATCCCACTGGCGTCTGAGCCCGGCCACACCGAGTAACGTTCTGTGCCACGGCTAACATAATCACTTCGGCCAGTTAAATACTGCAGTAGCACATCTCTTTCTCGGCTCCCTCTTCTCCAAAACGCGTTGACCTCCGTGGTCAAGTATGGCCAAACAACCCCGTCACGATCGACACGGGGCGGGGGCTTTCATCCAGCAGTGGACTGACAAAGGAGATGTATTCAAGCATTATTGTTACGCCTGCCTGAACGCTATGTTTACCTTCATGGCTCCGGGTCGTGTTCAGTTGCAAGGGGGGAATGATGTTTCCATCATCTGAACTTTTGCAGCGCCACCTATGGTTTAAGGATGGAATAATCTGGATAAGGCCCGGGCTGGGGATAGTTTCTGGCTACTTGCTCGGGAAATAATAATTATTCAACTACTATACGGTAGTATTATTACATTCAATTATTATGACCTTTTAATTTTTACAGTATGGTGATGGCAATATAATTTTCCCTGGAAATACGGTGAATGCAGTATAAACAAGGTTAGCAATTATAGTCAACGTCTGGTCACACGAATATGTACAAAGCTATTCCTGATGGTGTCTTCTATGATGACAAACAGGTGGGTCTCATTTCAAACCGTTAAAACATATACTCTTCCACACGCGTGTCGATATTGAAAGTGTTGACATTCGTTGGAATCTTGATTTGAAGATTCTGAATTGCTCTGCATTGGATTGATTTTCAAGTTTGTAGATCGTCTCACGTTACCGTGGAGAGACCGATGCAGCTGAATGCTAATGTCATGGATGGCAAAGCGCCTGGGAGTTTAGTTATGCAGTGCATGGTAATTCCGGATGGGTAATTGAGTTGAATCAGCAAAACGATCGTAACACGGAACGTGTCTTAGTTGTGTTTGAGGTGGTATCAAGCGACATCTCAAGCTGTCTCTCATTGGTGCCGTTAAGGATGGCTTTTAATCACATTGCTGCGTGCATTTTTTGTGCCAATCTGGCACAAACATTAACCACTGCGCCTAAAATTGGTTGATTGAAAAACTATTAACTTGCCGCAGTATTTGCTTACTGCCGTCGACAGAGAGGACGACTTAGAGGAGCCACGCAGTGTGAGCGCGCGCGCCAACAAATCAGAATCTGTATTATAAAACTGCAGGAAGAATCCGATGAGCTATAAAGCTCTTTTCCACAGACGTTCAGTCGGGGCACGGGGTAAGAACGTTACAACAATACAAAAAAACATGGTAAGAGTTCAAAGTACAAGAGAGGTAAACTAATCACCCAAACAGATACAAATAAAACTCAACCATCCCCGTCCTACCAGACAACGCCCACCGTGGCATTAACTTATTGTTCAAAAGCGGCCTCGCTACAAATGATAGCTAAACAAAGTGGCGTTAAATTTGGACAAGCTTTGCGGTTCCCAAATATATTAAGGTGCAATCTGCCAATTACAGAATGTTTATAAACATACAATACCACTTCCATTGGCCTTCCAAATGGAATGGATCAAATAACTGCATGGATAGGATCTCCTCCAGCCCGGAATTGACAAAAAAGGTATGCACATGTACACATAATTGACTGTCAAGATGAAATACAATATATTTAACAACGGATCTTGCAACAGGTTTCGCATTGTCTTAATGAGCTTCGATGGTGTCTCAACTAAAGGCTTACGAACGGATGGCTCCATAATAGCCACTGAAGCCACAACGTTAACATTGTATTGGGCGTCTGCTTTGGGTCACGCGACTAATTGTGCCCTGTGTGTCACAGTCCTCTATCCGGTTCCACGTTTAAAAATACAGCAGCACCGCATGAACAAGGCCACCGTGTGGTGGGGTGTTGGCTACCAACACACTACAGTAAATTATAATTCTACATGGCTAGCCAGAATATTTTTTTTGTTAATGTATGTGTTGCAAAGCCGATATAGCAAAGATGCACGGCCCTTACTTAAAGGTCGCCCAATGTTCCTCTGAAAATAACGCATTCGCTTCTTTAAACGAAAGTGTGCCTAACACTCCAAATGGGCTTCCTTGTGAGACCCCTTTCAATTACTTAGAACTGAGCACCTGAATTGAGCCTTCACGTTTGCATGCAGCCTGATCAGCAGTTTCCCCGCGATCGTCGCACTGAGCCCCTCTCTGATCTCTGAGCGAGTGAAGAAGTTCTGCCGCAGTTGAAGTGGTGGCACTCAGCCACCGCGAGGCACGCACGGGGTGGGGTTCGATTGTTGGCACACACCCACAAGCGCCGCTCGGCACGTGATAAGATCGGTGGCTTTGAGGCCACGGGTTACATTTCCGTTTCGGTTCACAGGAAATGGTTCACGAGTACAGTTCCCGAGTTGCGCACGGCGTGAGGGTTGTCGTCCCCCCCATCCAGCCCTCTTCGTGAGCTATCCGGGGAACTTTGCCTTTCGTGTTTGTGAGCTGGCGTTACTCTGGCGCGCACGCGCGCGCGCCTGCCTGGACGTTAGTAACAACCCTCCCCCGTTCCCCAGCGTTCTTGGTGTGGGGTCACACAGAGGTACACACATCCTCGGCGTGCCGAGATAGCTGACCATTTGGTGGGAGATTCAAGCAGCAAGCAAACAAAGCTGGTGAGTCGAGGAGGCGGCTAACCAGCGCCATGTAAGTATTCACTCCACGACGAGTGGTTGTGTGTGGTTTTAAATCTTGGCTCACAAGGCCACCATCCCGTTTGCGTTTTGCCGTTTTTGCTATCGCGACGTTTTTGTTGTTGTCGAGACAATATCTCCGGTATCGCCGGAGCAGAATAAGAGCGTTAGCTCCGTCGCATTAAACTCCCTAAGCCGCGCAGCAGCAGCAGCAGCGATCGGCGTGTTTCTCGCTCTCCAATGGTCACGCGCCTGTTGATGGCCAAGGGGCCCTCTTTGTTTGACCTCTGAGCTGATTTCGCCATTCCGGTCAGGGCGGATTTGGTGAAGATGTGGGGGAAGGGTTAAGAAGGGTGCGTTAGGGGTTCAGACATCACTCGCCGATAATGGTTAGGTGTGTTCCAAAGTGACTTGTTAAAACAAAAGCACGATCCACTAATTACGGAGCCAAACGAGCGTGTTCATTTATCTGCAAAGCATTAAATAGAATAAAACAAACATGTCCAGGAAAGCCTCACAACGTCTCATTACGTGTTATTGTTTAGGACGATGCTGTTTTGTTGAGATGTTTGCGTTAACCTTCCCCAATGTTTTATGTGTGTGTGTTTTATGATGGATCTGTCGGGTATTGGAGGGTTATGCTAAACATTGATATCGTGCCTAGACTGTGATCGAAAATGGATACACAAAAATGAAACTTGTAATGCAAAGAGATGGAAAACGTGGCGAGTCGAGCGAGTCTTGCTGGCCAGGACTGCGAGAAAATGGTGGTCAGAGCCAATTTTACTGACACCAAATAAATGACTCTTCGGATTATTTCAAAGGCCCTGTCATCAACCCAGTGGGATACTCGTGTCTGTAAGGATCTTAATTGCTATGAACGGACTCGACTCGCGCCATCGGACCGTGCTACCGTAGTTTTATGCTCCGCCACCGCCGTGGAAGATGAGAAATTAGCAAAACTACACGAAGCGTAAATCTCTCTGCTCAAATCCTCTCGTCGTGGTGGCTATGATACCTCGACATTGGCGCATGTATCTCATGAAACACACTGCCGTACACAAGAACAGGATAGTTGGCAGGCATTTTTTTAAAGACTGCTAATTGGTAATATATTTTTTGTATCATAAAAAAATCAACTCGTATGATGTATTTGTTTTGTCTTTCGCAGTGTTTTTGTGAACACCGCGTGAGCTCGCTTTTTTATCTGCACATCGGTATCGAATGCACCTTGTGGTGGTTATTTATTACAGAGATCAGCACCACAAATATCCTCCGTGTAGCCTTAACACTGTTGGGGAAAGGGCTATTAGCGAGCACCTATGAAGGTAGGAACGACAAACGAGGGGGTGGGTGGCCAGCACCACGCCCGACCACCTTGTCTCCCTAGTAGCGATGTTTACACGCCATACCAGGTCCTCATTTGAGGCTGAGTTGACCTAGGGGAGGCCCAGGACTGGTTCAAATAATCGTCACTGGTGTTGGCCATGAGAGGGTTCATAGCACAGCGCGCTAACTGCTGCGCCACCGCTCCCCACAACAGACAGACACGCACACACAGACACACAGAAACGCACACGTCAAAAGAGCGTGCCCCGTAATGGGCAAGGGTCAATCTTCATTCTCCTTCCATGTGTCGTGGCGCACTGCCATACAAATACATGTGATGCTTCGTCATACGCATCGTGTCTCGACACACTCGTCAACAACATTGCCTTTCAAGAAAACCAAAAAAATCGGGAGACGTTTCGGGCAATAGCCCTTCTTCACAGCATCATGTGCGTGAAGAGGAGTCGGAGACTGGTTTACGCATCTGGTGTATTCTTCAACCCACAGGCACACTCGTTCCCAAAACCAACCCCGAACATGCGTCTCGCAGCCCCTTTTAAACCCAATCTACATTCTCGTCTCGCACGCCGGGTCCGTGTGACGTCAGTGACCTTTAACCCTTGCCCCCCGTCTCGTGGATTCCCGTGCGTGTGATGGGTGCATGCTACGCTGAGTGCGGAGATTTCATGTCTGCGTGGTGCGAGTGCGTGAGGATGGCTCGCAGATCCCTTACATGTGTATTATTACAAGTGTGTATTCCTTTTACAAGGCATCAAGTCTGCGTTAACCACACATACTTGTGGCAAAACAAGACGATGCATACAATATAATACTATATGCATCGTCGATGCATATATTATTATAAACATGCCCTGATAATTATCAGGGCATGTTTGATTGCATGTTTCGCCACAAGTGTGTGTGTGGTTAATGCAGACTTGATGCCTTGAAAAAGGTACCTGTTTGGTGTTTAAACCTCGTGACTTCGTTTATTTCCAGAGAGGGTAAACAACCTTGATTTGAAGCTTTCGCGACTGCAGGAATCCAAACTCGTTGGTTCTTTCGGTAAAGTCACGTAAGTAGAAAATGAAATAAAAGAAAAATAATAATAATAATCATGTTTTGTGCAAATAATGTTTTTATTTTTTTACCTACGTGACTTCACCGAAAGAACCAAAGAGTATGGTAAACAACCTCTTCTTAAATTTGCATCATTTTGGATACATTCCTGGCAAAAGGGGTCTCCATAAATATACAAGAGCGTGTGTATATAGAAGTAGATATACATCAGTATTGTCATCACAATTAACTGATCTCGTCCTCTATAACGGCCGTGACTCGCAAAGGCTTCTCAGAGAACGTTGTTTCTCAACAACAATAGAAGCCACGATCCATCTATTGTTGGGTAAAGGTCTCTCAAAGCTGCTGCCATCCCTCGCTGTCATGCAATAATGGTAATATAAAAGGGAACATTGTGTTTTTTTAATCGATGAAGGCTTCACTGAGTCTTCAAACTATATTTCCACTCTAGATTCATGTTTTTGCCAATTCCATTATAGATTAATTTCTAGTGGATTTCGTGGTTGTCTAATGTTACTCATTTGCCAGTCTTGAGAACCTGACCCAAACACACACCCTGCCTTGCTCTTTAAAAAATGAATTCAGACAGCAAATACGTACATGACGCTTTAAAGGTCAAACTCAAAAGTTCGACTCTGTTTGGTACAAAAAAAAAACACATTTGTTGCAATCCCATTGAAGGCGATCCTCATTCTACTCTGGAGAACTTGTTAACATGAACACCACACACAGCTGCAACACGTTCCTCCACCAGATGGTTTATGTTCGGACAGAAGCTACCGCCGAGTGCGTTGACACTGGCCTGATCAGAATCAAGGCACAAACATATTTGTGATACTGCAGTAGACATAAACCCTGCACATGCTGGGCGGGTGAACGTGACACACAGTACAATGTTACATTGTGATGCACACTCGTAGAGCTGTCTTGACAAAAAGTAGGGCAGTAGTTGGAGGTCGAACACGCACAAATGTTAACCCAAATAAGTTTGTGATACGTGAACAAGATCGAGACACATAGTTTAGAGACACAGTAGCAATCCCATTGAAGGTGTTCCTCATTCTACTCTGGAGAACTTGTTAACATGAACACCACACAGCTGGTAAACACAATACAGGCGTGTCTCGTCTAACGAGCGTTATTTTATACGAGAATTCGCTAGAACGAACAATTTGAATTTAGAGCCAATTTGTTTGCAAAACGAGTAAAATGTTCGCCCAACGAGCGGAGACCGATCCGTAAATATGCTTCCCCTTACGGCAGGGGGCGCACTGCGGCCCGCCAGTTTGTTTACCAGCTGTGCTGTATGGTGCTGCATAGTGAAGCGCGTGTTAGGGGACATCCATTTAGTAGATACGCAAAAATCTGTCAAAACCTGACCCCCCCCCCCCTCCCTGTACGCACGCGTACTTTTTACACCGCCCTCCACCACCTGCGTACGTACTCTTGACGCACCCCCTCCCACCCCCCCGAATCCTATAGAACGGCCGATATTTAATCCACGCAGAACGATCAAGGATTAATCATATTAACCTCATCATTAGACCTCCTTTGCCAGTACCAAAATATAATAATAGGGTTTTCTCCCTTTTATATTAACCTGTTTAAGAAAACAGTCCACCGCCGGACGATCTAACTCATTTGAAGGCCAATTTTGACAAATTATTCTCGAGGCTTCACCCCCCCCCCCCCCCCCCCCGCTTCGTATGCGTACATTGTCAGTAGACCCCCCCCCATACCCAAGCGTACGCATTTGGGTTAACCCCCCCTCCCCCCTCCATGCGTACGTACGAGATGGATGGCCCCTTATCATGGGTGGCTGGGTGGGTTCCGGGAGCGGTGGTGCAGTGGTTAGCGCTACGCTGCGCTACGAACCCGGCGATCCGGGTTCGAGTCCCGCTCGCGGCCAACACTGGTGACGATTATCTGAACCGGTTCTGGGCCTCCCCTAGGACGACTCTGCCTCAAATGAGTACTTTGTGTGGTGTGTTAAACATCGTTACTTGTGATACAAAGGCGGCCGGGCGTGGTGCTGGCCACCCACCCCGTCGTGTACCGTACCGGCCTTCATAGGTGTTCGCTAACAGCACTTTCCATAAGTCTGTTGAGGCTGCACAGGGGATCTTGCACTGTGGTTCTTCATGTTTGGTGTTACATTTGATGTATTACTTTATTTAAAATTATCGTGCTGTCTATTTCTCATGTAAAACGGGACATTTTGGGCCTGACACGTGGCCCAGCTGTTAAACACGGCAGTCACCGGGACAACGATGGTCGTTTGACAAGTTTTCGCTTACTGACCAATTTTGGCGGAACGTATCTTGCTCGTTAAGCGAGACACGCCCGTAGTTTAAATGTTGTGTTTAGCTACACACATACTTCACAATGCTCGCCAGTGTGAGTTCGTGCAGGGCTAGGACTGGTTCAGAAATCACCACTGATACGTATCTTGGCCAGGTATTAAACTCGGGCCACTGGTAAGTGCGGATTGTGTGAAGGGGGGGGGGTAGAGGGGCGAGGCAGCAGGACTGAATCTTACATCACTTTCCGCACCTGTTAGCCATGGCTCGGAATCAAGCTCGAGTCGCAGCGCGCTAACCACTGCACCCACCGCTCCTGCGTGTACATACAGGTCAGCGAATTGAACCTGCGTGAAGCCCAGCGGTGGGGGTGGTGTCCCTGTAGTGGCTGCGTCTCGCTGAGGGCGTAGTACTTCCCCCGGAAAAGGATGGAAGTCGAGGAGTGCAACGCTCACGCCAGTGAGACGTCTACACTGCTGGGCATATTGCCCAGGCACAGCTACGCGTGCATCAACAACTGCCCCACGTGCCGAGGCACTGGCCGCGTTCCCAGAGGTGAGATTCCTGTGCGTTGAAAGACAGTCCAGTACTTCGGCAACTGCTAATACTTTTTGCACAATGTTACAAGGGATGAATGATTTTGGTACTCGTATCATGTGTGTTATTTGATACCTGTGGTGTTCCGGCTTGTGCTATATTTCATTCTCTTTTGATGGGTTCTGTTGTCATCCGGGTACAACAAGTTTAACAAAGTATCGCGAGTTGATGGCCTCAGCCTGATCACCAATGATTGCACATACGAAGAAGAAGAAGAAAAACACTTCCGTCACATTACATTTGGTTTTGCAACTTCGTTTAGAAAATGCAAACAATTTAGAATTTTTAAATATCAGTTTGACTCGAATGCAACAAATACAGTGAGGGGAAAAAGTATTTGATCCCCTGCTGATTTTGTACGTTTGTCCACTGACAAAGAAATGATCAGTCTATAATTTTAATGATAGGTTTATTTGAACAGTGAGAGACAGAATAACAACAAAAAAATCAAGAAAAACGCATGTCAAAAATTTTATAAATTGATTTGCATTTTAATGAGGGAAATAAGTATTTGACCCCTCTGCAAAACATGACTTAGTACTTGGTGGCAAAACCCTTGTTGGCAATCACAGAGGTAAGACGTTTCTTGTAGTTGGCCACCAGGTTTGCACACATCTCAGGAGGGATTTTGTCCCACTCCTCTTTGCAGATCTTCTCCAAGTCATTAAGGTTTCGAGGCTGGTGTTTGGCAACTCGAACCTTCAGTTCCCTCCACAGATTTTCTATGGGATTAAGGTCTGGAGACTGGCTAGGCCACTCCAGGAGCTTAATGTGCTTCTTCTTGAGCCACTCCTTTGTTGCCTTGGCCGTGTGTTTTGGGTCATTGTCATGCTGGAATACCCATCCACGACCCATTTTCAATGCCGTGGCTGAGGGAAGGAGGTTCTCACCCAAGATTTGACGGTACATCGTCCCTTTGATGCGGTGAAGTTGTCCTGTCCCCTTAGCAGAAAAACACCCCAAAGCATAATGTTTCCACCTCCATGTTTGACGGTGGGGATGGTGTTCTTGGGGTCATAGGCAGCATTCCTCCTCCTCCAAACACAGCGAGTTGAGTTGATGCCAAAGAGCTCCATTTTGGTCTCATCTGACCACAACACTTTCACCAAGTTGCCCTCTGAATCATTCAGATGTTCTTTGGCAAACTTCAGACGGGCATGTATATGTGCTTTCTTGAGCAGGGGGACCTTGTGGGCGCTGCAGGATTTCAGCCCTTCACGGCGTAGTGTGTTACCAATTGTTTTCTTGGTGACTATGGTCCCAGCTGCCTTGAGATCATTGACAAGATCCTCCCGTGTAGTTCTGGGCTGATTCCTCACCGTTCTCATGATCATTGCAACTCCACGAGGTGAGATCTTGCATGGAACCCCAGGCCGAGGGAGATTGACAGTTCTTTTGTGTTTCTTCCATTTGCGAATAATCGCACCAACTGTTGTCACCTGCTCACCAAGCTGCTTGGCAATGGTCGTGTAGCCCATTCCAGCTTTGTGTAGGTCTACAATCTTGTCCCTGACATCCTTGGAGAGCTCTTTGGTCTTGGCCATGGTGGAGAGTTTGGAATCTGATTGATTGATTGCTTCTGTGGACAGGTGCCTTTTATACAGGTAACAAGCTGAGATTAGGAGCACTCCCTTTAAGAGTGTGCTCCCAATCTCAGCTCGTTACCTGTATAAAAGACACCTGGGAGCCAGAAATCTTTCTGATTGAGAGGGGGTCAAATACTTATTTCCCTCATTAAAATGCAAATCAATTTAGAACATTTTTGACATGCGTTTTCTGGATTTTTTTGTTGATATTCTGTCTCTCACTGTTCAAATAAACCTACCATTAAAATTATAGACTGATCATTTCTTTGTCAGTGGGCAAACGTACAAAATCAGCAGGGGATCAAATACTTTTTTCCCTCGCTATACTTCTCCCTGTGGTTGAAAGTGCTTTGTCCTTTCTGGTTGGACCAGAGGCCACTTAAAGGGATATCAAAAATAGCTCTGTGATGTCCACTTCCATGGGCCGTACTAACACAAAGGGTCGCACTGCTGTGTGAGATATCCAAATGGATTCTCCGTACCATGCCATGACTCTGATAGCACAATTTTGATCAAATTTGGGGGGAAAAGACTGAATATTTATTTTAAAAGACCAAAGGTCCTTTGGGCTCTCAAGCTTAGGGGAATTTTCCATCTTATCATGTGTACGAGTGAGTTGCATTAAAAGTGTATTGACAGCGCCCTGTGGTGCACTATGCAATATCCCCCCTGTATGTCTCTCCCGTCTCTCCCATGTCCCTTGTGTAATGGCAGACGAGGCGAACAGGCTGGTGGCACTGATTCCACTCAATGACCACCGCCTCAAGCCAAACAAAACGTAAGAGCGCCGGACCTCCCAAGACCAAGAAGCTAACACTGAAAAAAAATCTAAATTTGGCAATAAGTGTGATCCCTAACTCTAACAAACTAGCCAATCATCTGCTTAATGCTCACTTGCAATTACTCTAACCCTAACCTCACGTGGAACACATTGACAGGTGGTTGATGTTAACTACCTCGTCTCGTATAGAGGAGGTCGTGGGTTCCATCGCGACCCTGACGCCTGCTGTATATTTGGAGTTTGCATGTTCTCCCTGTGGTCGCGTGGATTTTTATCCAGGTCCTCCGTTTTTTCCCCCTCCACATTTATAAACGTGCGTCTAGAGTTATTTGGCTGTGATACATTTCCACGTGATAAGCCACTTCATTGGGCTATCATTTGTGGCCATGTCGCTTCTGAAAAAGAGCTATATAGCTCAGTGGGCGTTATGGTAAAATAAAAAAATCGTTTCATCGTTTAGTTTTTCATGTTTTGTTCACTTTTCAGTCCTGCTCATCACGGCATCTCATACTTTCTCCGCCGTATGTCAATGCAGCAACCGAGCAGCTCTCTTTAAGCAGTGGGTGCTCTGAATGTTTCTTGAATGCGTGTACATTCTACTCTGCACGCACTCGCGTGAGCCTAGTGCTTTGTTGACCAAGTCTGAATTTATAAATGAGCATTCGGAGATGGCTCGGAGTTAAATGCCAGGAAGCCGCCTGTGCCTAAACCAGGTTCTTAAGAGGAGAGAGAGTTGATAGTCTCAGCCTCATCACCAATTGCTTAATTTGGCAAGAAAGCCAGCTCTTGAGAATTAAAAATATAAATTTCACTGACATTAAATGAATTCTCCATATCGGGGCAGGTGGGAGCATGCTGCCCCCTATCGCGTGTTTCGGAGGTCACTTGAAGGAATCTCAGAGGGATATGATATTCGCTTCTGCGGGACCGATTGCAAAATCAGGATATAAAGTGGGGGAAAACACGCAAGCAATATGTAATATTCAAATATAATCTTTTCATTTACATTGTGCTTAAATGTCTTAGCATACATATCAAAGCACCTTACGCCACATCTCATTTCAAACTTTTTGTAGACCCCCAGTGGCAGCTGTCCCTGTGTGGCACGAGATGGCTCACTTGTCAGCACTGGCAAACAAGTGAGCATTAAATCCGCCAATAGGGGTTGATGGTTGCAACATATAATCTGAATTGAATAATTTTGAAAGTAAATTCTTTCCAAGTTGGACACGGGTGCCCACGCATGCATTGGCAGACTCTTTTCGAACGAAGTCACGGGATCTTTAACATCCACTGTGAAGAAGATGGCACCAATTTTACGGTGAATACTCCCAAAGCATTAACCGGGGGAAGCCTGTTGGTTTCGAACTGCAACATAAACCTTTGTGACAAGCTGCGAACGCGTCACCATCGGGCCGCGTCACGGGTTCTTTTCTGCTCGGGGTGGGGTGTCCCGCGGCAAGTTGTCTGCGCGCGATGCCAGCCGTAAGAGAAATGCATCCCCGTGCCCTGCAGGTTGCAGTACGTCCTACTCTCCATGCTCATTTGCCTCGTGACGTCGGGGCTGCTCGTCTTCTTCATATTTCCCCGCTCGGTGCTCGTGAGCAATGGGGACATCGAGTCCGTCTATGTCTTCTTCAGCGAGAACGGCAATACCGTCATCATGAACGTAACGGTACGTTACCCCGTCGTCTCTCGGCACAGAAAGTGTCCTCGGCAGTGCTCTTGTTTACGTAAACGTGTTTTGGATAGACGCGCAAAATATTGCACGGCTGTAGGTGTAAGGACTGGTAAAGATTGGTAATCACGGCAAGGCGGACTGTGGAGGGTTATGGAAGACCGCATCGTACGTAGCCAACTGTGCACATCGGAGGTACTGGGAAGAAAAACACACTAAAACACAAAAAGCAATTCTAAACAAATGAGCTTTCCATCTAGATTGAAAAGTGCATAGCTTCAGTGACTTCCGAACAATTTGGATTTGAGAAACACTGGTCTAGAAGACACGCTACTAACGAGGCAAGGAATGAACTTTCTCTCATCCTGTTCTGTTTTGTATATAATCATGAATAAGAAATGTAACTGCGTATGAAAAGTTGCCTTTATTTACCCTGGAAAGCCTCACATTTTCCAGACTAATTTTTACACGCTTTTTATTAACTCACTCTGGCTGTTGTTGTTGTCGTCATTGTTTTTGTTGTATCCTCAAATCTTGTAACTCAATTTTAACCCACTTCCCAATGTGGTATCGACTGAAAACTTGGTCTACTTATGTCATACTGATGACAATACTATATTCTATCATAAAAAAATAAAAAATAAACATATATTTTAAAACATATTTTTTTTATATGTTATGTTTCGCCTTGGGTCTAATTGTCCACGCTCAACTGACGTTGGCTGTAAATCACCACCGGTCCCTTACGTTATGGCAAGCTTCGGGGCCACTTCCTGGAGTCGTGGAGTTCTTCCATTAATAGTACGGTACATTTCATTAAAGCGTGTTTTAAAAAAAGTTTTTTTTTTAAATATTACTTATTCAGGAGGGACTTGCATTGAGATATTTGGTGATTTGTGGTGGTGGTGGTGATGTTGATGATGAATTGGAACTTTTGTTTCCCACACAGACCAGCATCGTCATCGAGAACAGCAACTACTACTACATCGACCTTTACAGCACGTGCATTCAAGTTGAGTTTGGTCACAATGTGCTGAACAAAACCTGCTTCGAAAAGGGCCTTGTGGTGAAGCCTCATAGCCAGGGTCAAGTAAGAAGAGCACGCAACATTTCCAACACGCGTTCCAACACTGTGTTTCGGGAACATGTGCTGTATGGCATTGTTCTAATGTAGCTTACCAAATGTATTATATTTTTTGTCCCTCTTAACCTCTTGGTTTCTTGTTTAGGTAAGACTATCCATTATTCTGTCGATATTTGGGATATAGTAAGTATATTTTGATATTTTGTTTGCACACAATACAGATGATATAATCCATCATGCACAATAGAGCCTCGCCGAGTATCTAAAGACTTCTTTTCAGGAAGGTCTTGCTACTTTGGGATGTTTACACAATTTCATGAATCAGTGTTGTGTGGCTTCATGTGGGAGGACAGCAGAGTGTCCAGAGAATCCCCACCACGCATACTAAATTAAACCTTGCAGCTCTTTTTCAGTAGCGACCTGGCCACAACGAATAGCTCAACGAAGTGGCTTATCCACGTGGACATTTACAGCGGGCAAATGCTCTTAAACGCGCATTTCTAAATGTGAAGGGAAAAACCGGAGGACCCGTATAGACATCCACGCGACCACGGGGGGAGAACGTGTAAACTCCAAATTATACAGCGGGAATCAGGGTTGGGATCGGTCCCACAACCTCCTGTATACTAGGCCAGTTAACATCTCGCCACCATGGATGGATTAAATAATCCATTGCCATACTGCCATCTCCTAGAACAACCTCGTAGCCCTATGTACACAAAAACGCACACCTATACTGAGAGTGTGATTGTCACCATTCTTGCCTTTCAGTGAATACTGCACCAAGCCATCAATCAAGGTCCACAACGTGTTCTTCAAACTGCAGTAAGTGGAAATGTCACCCGTTTAAAATTATGCCTTGAATGCAAACGAACCTTGACAACGCAGAATTGCGTACGCCGATTTGGGTGAGTGTTGAGGTGGGGAGCGGTGGTGTCGTGGTTAGCGCTCATTGCTCACGGCCAACACTGGTGACGATTATCTGAACCGGTCATAGGCCACCCCTAGGTCGACTCGGCCTCAAATGAGTACCTGGTGCGGTGTGTAAACATCGTCACTAGGGAGACAAAGGCAGTGGGGCGTGGTGCTGGCCACCCACCCCCTCGTGTGCCGTGTCGACCTTCATAGGTGCTCGCGAACAGCACTTGCCCCAACAGTCTGTTACAGGCTACACGGAGGATCTTTGGTGCATGGTAAGTGAAGGCAGTAATGTAAGGTTAGCACGCTGCACTACGAATCCCGAAATCCAAGTTCAGTTCCCACTCGTGACCAACGCCGGTGACGATTATCCCGGACCAGCACTGTGCCTCCTCTCGGTGTGTTCAGCCTTAAATGAGTACCTGGTGCCACGTGTAAACACCGCCACGAGGGAGACAAATGTGGCCCGGGCATGTTGCTGGCCACCTACACCCCTTGTGTGTCGTGCCGGCCTTCATAGGTGCTCGCCCTGTCTTTTTCAAGGCTATATGGCGGATCTTTTGTCTTTCTGTTTGCTTGGCCCTGTGTAGCACGACGGCTGTCATGGATGTGTTGAACAACCACCAACAGAAGTCGACCATCGACGACTTCCGTTATTTCGACTGCGGAAAGAACGTGACTCATCCCGTGCCTATCCACATGGAGTCGTGGCTGCCAAAACGCTACTAATGACCCCCCCCCCCCCCCCCCCCCCCCTTTCTCTCTGGCTCATTAGTACTGACCAATAATCCTCGTCGACACCTAGTCACTTGAATTTGTTGGACAGATCGTTCAAGATTGCCACGTTATTTTTTCGTAGAAGTTGTAGGCAGTAGTTGTATTTGTTTAATCCAGGGGAGGGGAATGTCTGGCCCGCGGGCCGTACAAGGCCCGCGAAATCATTTGGGTCTGGCCCTGCCAAGGCATCCGCAGGCGGGACTCGAAATTTAATAAATCTAGGAGCAAACCTGGAAAAGCAGTTGCGAGTAGCAACATCATCAATACCAGCTAACATCATCAATACCAGCTAACATCATCAATACCAGCTAACATCATCAATACCAGCTAACATCATCAATACCAGCTAACATCATCAATACCAGCTAACATCATCAATACCAGCTAACATCATCAATACCAGCTAACATCACCAATAGCAGCTAACATCGTCAATACCAGCTAACATCATCAATACCAGCTGACATCATCACACGCCTCGCCAAAGAGAAGCAGTTCCAGCCATCCAATTAGGGGTGAGTTCATTAAGTGTTTGACCAAATATAACAGGTACATTTTTAAGTTGATAATTTTGTATGGCCCGCGAATGATGTCATAAATATCCAAATGGCCCTTGGCAGAAAAAAGGTTCCCCACCCCTGGTTTAATCTAACATGAGAAATCTGCGATGACCATTGTTCCACCTCGGAGGCCGAGCCTACATGGCCTTGCATTCCCAGGTAGGCTCCCATTCGTGTACGGATCAGACTGAAATACACCTTAGCTACCGATATCTGATAAGATCGGGGCACGTTTAGGTTGAGTTTGTCAACTGCTTTAGGCCCCCTAGAGGCTGGTGCAAATCCGGTAGCGCCTCTTTGCAAGCCAAAATATTGCCAACGTATTGAGGACAGCGTTTTACAGAGGGGAGTGTCTTTAAGAGGACCACGCAAATCCAGCTGTCCGCCCTGTGTCTCGGGTTGCACCAGCGTGTTGTTCGGCACGATGCCCGACGTTTCGTTTCACTTTTTAGGAGCTTCAGGTACAGCCTAAATAATGCATCAGGGGAGAGCTACAGGATGAGGTGTAAAACTCTATGCAATAGGAGGACAAGCAAACTGCTGGAGGTCACTTTATAAAGTTTGCAGCATATCTGCTCTTTTCGATGCAAGATTGACTAATTTATGCGTTGGGTGCTGCTCTTTTTTATCGCGCATAATTGTGCAAGACGAAATGGTTTTCTGTTAATTGCATGTGTAATTGTATTCTGGGAGCATTATTTACCACATTTGTGTGAGAGATTGTTGTGAGTTAAAGCGAATCCAGGATGTGATGTGATTTTTAAACTAGTTTTCACTGCACGTACTGCGTCAAAAAGAGTTACGTCACTTTCTATGCACGTGTGGTACTGGAGAGAACATTTTCTGTTACTTTTTTTCAATAAATTTTCACTGGTGACCATTTTAAAAACGTATACCGCGTGCAGTGCTTGCTTCCTGCGCAAATCAAAATTGTTTACTTTAACACGTAGGCTTTCGCGACCAATATTATTCATAATAAAGGTTTTTGGGTTAGATCGCGTTTATTTATAAATGTGTCGTAACCCTCCACCACCCGACACGGCCAATCAGCAAAGAAAAGTGTCACGTTGACAAAAGACAAATAATTCACTACTTCAGCCCACCGGTGGGTTGAAGAGTTAATCCACATTTACAGTTTGAGTACGACGTTTCGCTGGTAAATACTTCCAGCATCATCGGGCAATTCGCCAGAATGGTAAAGCCCTCGCTTGCTCCCGGTTTTATATAGAGCAGAAGAGTGACGTCATCACTTAACTCATCAGGTGCAGTGATTAGAGGCGGAGGGGGGGGTAATGTAATTATATAATCGATTAGTAATCAGTCATTGGTTATGATTAGTAATGAGTTGTAGATTAGTAATTCTTTAAATCAAAATGTAATGTGTATTATTTAATAATACGCTTCCAGGCCGCACTGAGCCGGTAGCTGTCAGAGCGATTAAAGTTATTCTTGTTCCTCTCAATTTCAATGGATTCTCTAATTAGTCTTTGCCAGTAATAATTAGTTTTACACACCACTGCAACATTGTCAAAATCAATTGAGTGTCCTTGTTGACAAGCATGTTCTGCCACTGCCGACAGTTGTGTTTGAGATAATTTAATATTTCTCTGATGTTCTTTTAGTCTTACGCTGATGTTACGTCCCGTCTGCCCAATGTAGCAGCTGCCACATGAACAATTAATCCGATATACACCTTCTGTTGATAGTTTAGGTAATGCGTCTTTAGTGCAAGATACTAGTTTTTGAATTTTGTGTACTGTACCAAATCTTACTGTAATGTTTTGCTTTTGCAAAACGCGGGCTAATTTGTCAGTTACTCCTGAGATATATGGAATTTTTATTGTTTTAACAATCTGGTCGCTTTCAGTAGTATTGCTTTGCCAGAATGGCTACAATAATGCTCAAATTAACAGAGCACTGAATGCCAAATCACGATCGCAAAGCAATACTACTGAAAGCGACCAGATTGTTAAAACAATAAAAATTCCATATATCTCAGGAGTAACTGACAAATTAGCCCGCGTTTTGCAAAAGCAAAACATTACAGTAAGATTTGGTACAGTACACAAAATTCAAAAACTAGTATCTTGCACTAAAGACGCATTACCTAAACTATCAACAGAAGGTGTATATCGGATTAATTGTTCATGTGGCAGCTGCTACATTGGGCAGACGGGACGTAACATCAGCGTAAGACTAAAAGAACATCAGAGAAATATTAAATTATCTCAAACACAACTGTCGGCAGTGGCAGAACATGCTTGTCAACAAGGACACTCAATTGATTTTGACAATGTTGCAGTGGTGTGTAAAACTAATTATTACTGGCAAAGACTAATTAGAGAATCCATTGAAATTGAGAGGAACAAGAATAACTTTAATTGCTCTGACAGCTACCGGCTCAGTGCGGCCTGGAAGCGTATTATTAAATAATACACATTACATTTTGATTTAAAGAATTACTAATCTACAACTCATTACTAATCATAACCAATGACTGATTACTAATCGATTATATAATTACATTACCCCCCCTCCGCCTCTAATCACTGCACCTGATGAGTTAAGTGATGACGTCACTCTTCTGCTCTATATAAAACCGGGAGCAAGCGAGGGCTTTACCATTCTGGCGAATTGCCCGATGATGCTGGAAGTATTTACCAGCGAAACGTCGTACTCAAACTGTAAATGTGGATTAACTCTTCAACACACCGGTGGGCTGAAGTAGTGAATTATTTGTCTTTTGTCAACGTGACACTTTTCTTTGCTGATTGGCCGTGTCGGGTGGTGGAGGGTTACGACACATTTATAAATAAACGCGATCTAACCCAAAAACCTTTATTATGGAAAATTGTTTACGTTTACCCGAACGTTTCGGGTAATGTTGTTTCTCATCGGGTTCCTCGTCACACTCGCCACCACCCGCATCTAGGCCCGACCCAAATATCTCACCGTTCTGTGACGTCAACAAGAAACCTGGTTTGAGGCTTTCGTGACTGCAGGAATCCATACTCTTTGGTTATTTCGGGAAAGTCACGTAGGTATAAAATAAAAATTGTATTTTAATACCTACGTGACTTTACCGAAAGAACCAAAGCCTAACGAAACCTCCTCCTGACCGCACAGGACTGGCCCCAGACGTTTCCCAGTTGGCCCGTGCCCGACCCGCTTCCCCCCACCCCCATCTCCCATCTCCCATCAGCTGCGTGACCGCAGCAGCGTCGGGAGTCCTTGCCATCCAACGGGAATCCTGCTCGCGGAACACATTCTCCGCTATATATATCCCCGTAGTCCCCGGGCAGCAGAGGTGGTGGGGGTGGAGTCTGCAGCCAACCTTGCCGTGTCCACAGCGCGGGCCCCACACTCGACCGATCCGCCCGTGCCCCGCGTGTCCTTCGTTGCATGCGTCCACCTCTTCGACGCAGGGAAATCATCTTTTGTCGTCCACGCGTCCCATCGCCACGGCCACCATGGACAAGAAGCTCTTGGAGAATATTTCCGCGTCGGGCCGCTCCATCGGAGTCCTGACCAGCGGCGGAGATGCGCAGGGTGAGAGCGGGGTTCGGAAGCGCCCGGGCCACGTTTGTGCCAGGGCTGGGTGGTGGGCTACTGCAGCGGGCTAAGATGCTTATAAATAACAGGAGAAATAAGGGTTGAGATATTCTTAGTTTTTTCGGTAAAGTCACGTTGAAGAGAAACAACAAAATAACAAAATATATATAAAACAATAAAAAATTCTCACGACGTTTCGACCATAACTCAAACGGTCATCATCAGGTGTGTCGGTTTGCATAAATTTATTTTGAATAAATTTAAAAAATAAATAAATTTATTTTGAATAAATTTATGCAAACCGACACACCTGATGATGACCGTTTGAGTTATGGTCGAAACGTCGTGAGAATTTTTTATTGTTTTATATATATTTTGTTATTTTGTTGTTTCTCTTCAACGTGACTTTACCGAAAAAACTAAGAATATGAATTACTGCAGTCACGAAAGCTTTAAATCAAAATTTAAGGGTTGAGATGTTGAAACGGTGCTCTGACGCAGGTTGATGCGGAAATAATGACAATGTTTAACGCTTTTGTTTTGGATGTTAATATTTTGCTTATTTAATTAACAAAAATTAGTTTGATTAATTACCATAACTCTAAAATCGAAATGCCTACCCCCCCCCACCCCTCCTTTAAAAAAATGTGTAGGTGCGTTTAAAAAGAATAATTTCTGTTCCGGTAATAGAAATTATTTTGTATTACTCATATTTACAGAGAGAAGTAAATGCGTTTTGTCACCAGGGATGGGGGGGCTGGGTGGTCCGCGGTACTGTTTGCGTCGGCTGAGTGGTCCCTTGGACCAAACAATTTGAGAAACGGTGACTCGAGAGGAAGCTGTGAATTTACTGAAATGAGCGGCGCCATGGAGGTTTGTGTGCACGCGCCGGTCTGCGCCCATCAGGTATGAACGCGGCTGTGCGCGCCGTGGTGCGGATGGGCATCTACGTCGGAGCCAAGGTGTACTTCATATACGAGGTGAGCGGGTGAGCATTCCTGGCCACAAAGGTGAGCACCGAGGATCCAGACAGGCAGCAGCGGCAGTAGCAGCTAATTCGCGCAAGAACACGCGTCGCGAAAGCAATTGACTCGGGCAACGTCACAGTCAAAAAAACTTAAAAAAATGTTAACAGAACAAGACTTCACACAAACGGAATCGGCCAAAGATAACACAAGAACACTTCTGAAAAAAATAGTCATCAGATTCAGTGACGCTTCTGCTGGGTTAAATACATGCTTGTGAAGAGAATACAGGACCTAAAAATCTCTGCACCATCGATACATCTGCATTCTGAACATCATGTATTTTCCTTTTAAACATGAAAAAAGCAGTCGGTTTTTTTTTGTTAACCACAATCAGAAATGCACAATATAATTATCATGCAGTCGTCATGGTGTGCCTGTGTTGAAGTCGACAGGGCCTTTAATCGGCAGCGCGAGTCGCCGCTCCAGACCGATACCGCCGTGTTGGTGATTGGAACGTGCTTTTGAAGAGTGCCGCATCTCTGCATATTAAAAAACAACCACACCTCGGAGGTTGGAGACGCCCGAGTTTATGCGGGGGAGGGGTCTCTCCGGGAGGGGTCTCTCCGGGGGGGAGGGGTCTCTCCGGGAGGGGGTCTCTCCGGGGGGGGGGGGGGGGTCCCAGCCGCGATCCAAAGGTGGTGGGGAAGGGGGGGGGGCTTTCGTTTTTTGTTTGTTTTATTCATACCTCCCCCCCCCCCGGTGGAGATTAAACTGCTCGCCGCGTGCAATACAATAACTCTGTACATTAACTCTGTACATTAACTCTGTACAATAACTCTATACATTAACTCTGTACATTAACTCTGTACAATAACTCTGTACATTAACTCTGTACATTAACTCAATACAATAACTCTGTACAATAACTCTGTACATTAACTCTGTACATTAACTCAATACAATAACTCTGTACAATAACTCTGTACATTAACTCTGTACAATAACTCTGTACAATAACTCTGTACAATAACTCTGTACATTAACTCAATACAATAACTCTGTACATTAACTCTGTACATTAACTCTGTACATTAACTCTGTACATTAACTCTGTACAATAACTGTACATTAACTCAATACAATAACTCTGTACAATAACTCTGTACATTAACTCTGTACATTAACTCAATACAATAACTCTGTACATTAACTCTGTACATTAACTCTGTACATTAACTCTGTACAATAACTCTGTACATTAACTCTGTACATTAACTCAATACAATAACTCTGTACATTAACTCAATACAATAACTCTGTACATTAACTCTGTACAATAACTCTGTACAATAACTCTGTACATTAACTCTGTACATTAACTCAATACAATAACTCTGTACATTAACTCAATACAATAACTCTGTACATTAACTCTGTACATTAACTCTGTACATTAACTCTGTACAATAACTGTACATAACTCTGTACAATAACTCTGTACAATAACTCTGTACATTAACTCTGTACATTAACTCTGTACATTAACTCTGTACAATAACTCAATACAATAACTCTGTACAATAACTCTGTACATTAACTCTGTACATTAACTCTGTACAATAACTCAATACAATAACTCTGTACAATAACTCTGTACATTAACTCTGTACAATAACACTGTACAATAACTCTGTACAATAACTCTGTACATTAACTCTGTACATTAACTCTGTACAATAACTCAATACAATAACTCTGTACAATAACTCTGTACATTAACTCTGTACATTAACTCTGTACATTAACTCTGTACAATAACTCAATACAATAACTCTGTACATTAACTCAATACAATAACTCTGTACATTAACTCTGTACATTAACTCTGTACATTAACTCAATACAATAACTCAATACAATAACTCTGTACATTAACTCAATACAATAACTCAATACAATAACTCTGTACATTAACTCAATACAATAACTCTGTACATTAACTCAATACAATAACTCAATACAATAACTCTGTACATTAACTCAATACAATAACTCTGTACATTAACTCAATACAATAACTCTGTATAATAACTCTGTACATTAACTCAATACAATAACTCTGTACATTAACTCTGTACAATAACTCTGTACATTAACTCTGTACAATAACTCAATACAATAACTCTGTACATTAACTCAATACAATAACTCTGTACATTAATTCTGTACATTAATTCTGTACATTAACTCAATACAATAACTCTGTACATTAACTCAATACAATAACTCTGTACAATAACTCTATACATTAATTCTGTACATTAACTCAATACAATAACTCTGTACATTAACTCTGTACATTAACTCTGTACAATAACTCTGTACAATAACTCTGTACATTAACTCTGTACAATAACACTGTACAATAACTCTGTACAATAACTCTGTACAATAACTCTGTACATTAACTCAATACAATAACTCTGTACAATAACTCTGTACATTAACTCTGTACAATAACTCTGTACATTAACTCTGTACATTAACTCTGTACAATAACTGTACAATAACTCTGTACAATAACTCTGTACATTAACTCTGTACAATAACTGTACATTAACTCTGTACATTAACTCAATACAATAACTCTGTACATTAACTCTGTACAATAACCGTACATTAACTCTGTACATTAACTGTACATTAACTCTGTACATTAACTCAATACATTAACTCTGTACATTAACTCTGTACAATAACTGTACATTAACTCTGTACATTAACTCAATACAATAACTCTATACATTAACTCTGTACATTAACTCTGTACAATAACTCTGTACATTAACTCTGTACAATAACTCTGTACATTAACTCTGTACAATAACTCTGTACATTAACTCTGTACAATAACTGTACATTAACTCAATACATTAACTCTGTACAATAACACTGTACAATAACTGTACATTAACTCTGTACATTAACTCTGTACAATAACTGTACATTAACTCTGTACATTAACTCTGTACATTAACTCTGTACAATAACTCTGTACATTAACTCCGTACAATAATTCTGTACATTAACTCTGTACATTAACTCTGTACAATAACACTGTACATGAACTCTGTACAATAACTCTGTACATTAACTCTATACAATTGAGTGGGGATTTTACCTTTGCTAACGCGTGACGGTGAATCACATTCAACAACAACAACAAACTCATTTTCATGAAAACTCAACCAGAGACTTTGCCCCAACAGCTACCTACACACCACTGCATTGTGGCACGACTCATAACATTTGCATATTTCGCCGGTTTCTAATTAAAGCAGTAACGAACTGGTTCGTAGTTTTTAACACACAACGTGCGCCTCCGATTAGCACGGGTTGGCAACGTGCGGTGCGAAAGAAGTTCAACAAACGTGCATGCAACGTCGCATATCCGACTGACTGGAGAATGATGTGTAGGCTCATCAGTGAATATCGCCGTGCAACTGGGACTGCATAGTAGGGCCCGCGTAAACAAACACGAAAGACCGTGTTATTTTTATGTTCGTATGATAAACACATTTTTTTTTAACCAAGATACCTTCTTCAATAAATCTACTTATATAGTAAGGATAGTCACAGCGTTTCAAATTAAATCGGCTTATCTGCGCCACGCGGCGCGCTCCCATTCAAACGAGGGCACAGACTAAATGATGAACGTCGTCGGCGGTAGCGACGTCTGTCCAAGCGGCTGGGACGACGTTCCGCGTGAGAACCCAAGCGGAATGACAGCGGCGGTAGCAGTCACGTGGAGCAGCAGCAGCAGCAACTCTTGCAAAAGTTTATCACCGAAGGCCTACGAACGCAGACGCGTCCCCAGCCAACGATAACCTTAATCCTGCCCTGCGTGCAACACGCAGTTATGATCGGACATCGGTGCAGTGCAAAATGGTTGGACATCGGTGAAATGCTTGCACTGTGATTCAGAAGCCAATGCACGCGGGGTTAGTTAGGCACGCTCGCAAGAGTTACGCCAAGCAGAAATACTGCACTGGGTGTTGGGCTGTTAATTGGACAAGGTGGGTAATACGTGGAGGTCAGATATACGACGTTTTACTATATATACACACACATATAGCTAGAGTAGATTTTTTTTTAATGTTTAAAACTACGAAAGTGCCTTGTATAGCCGGTTGGAAACCCACTGCTTTCGGAAACTCAATCTGAACTTAAAGGTCACTCGGGAAAGTCGAGCTGCTGCTGCTGCTGCAGACTGTGTCTGGGTGTGGGCAGATCGTGTTCAATCTTTATATAGCGTGCAGGGAGGAGGAATGGGGGGGGAGTGGAAGGAGGGCCATCGCATGAACCGATGGCCTTCAGCCACCACCCCCTGACACCGTCGACTCTGGCAAGAGACGAGTGACACAAGCGCGTTGTGCTGCCCGGCTATTAGAGTAACACGTTTAGTCAGCGGACAATCGTCACCCCCCCCCCACACCCGCACCCCACAAGTAGATTTTTATTATTATTACACGTTTTTATTTAACTCACACTGTCTGTTGTTGTATCCTCAAATCTTGTAACTCAATTTTTACCCACTTCCCAATGTGGTATCGACTGCAAACTTGGTATACTTATGTCATACTGATGACAATACTATATTCTATCATACAAAAATATAAGTTGTATATTTTTAAACATTCTTTTTTATCTGTTATGTTTCGGCTTGGGTCTAATTGTCCACGCTCAACTCACGTTGGCTGTAAATCACCACGGCCCCCTTACGTTATGGAAAGCTTCGGGGCCACTTCCTAAAGTCGTCGAGTTCTGCCGTTACTAGTACGGTACATTTCATTAAAGCGTGTTTTTTAAAAAAGTATTTTTATATTACTTCTTTTTACACAACACATCAGCCACAAGATCCCCCGAGGACGCACAAACCTCGTAGGCAAGCGAAACTCTGGAACCGGTCTAGTCAGCAGTCAGGCCCACTTGAACCAATTGGTGCCAGACGATATAGTAAATTAAGAACTCTCTCGTTAAAATATGCGTTCCTAGTTTGACACAAAAACCATACGGCTATCTCTCAAGGAATCTATTTTATATCCGATTATAATCGATTATAATCGGTATAGTAATGATCGTTTCGATCGATGGATTAATAAGATAACGCGAACATTTTTAGAAATATAAAAAAGTTATCGCCTCTGTTCCCACGTGTGCCGCTGGACGGGAGGTGGTATAGGTGGGGGTATGGTGATGTCTGTCAGCATCATTAGCCACGTGACGCTGGGCGTGGTTTGTCGGGAGAGGGTTTCCCTCCTTCGGGAGGCAGGGTGTAAGGGGGGGGGCGGGGCCCGATTAATTCACAAGAAAAAGTCGTTCATGCATCTGAATCAATTCATTCACTTATTTGACTTATCGTAACAACGCTCTCTCTCAGTGTCAAGCCTTCTCACAAGCCAGTCGGTGCTGATGTAACGCTCACATTGGACACAGTAAATATAATTGCTGGACCAGTCAACGCAATCGCTATTTTAGAAATAATCTGCCCCGAGAGTTTGATAACGACACTTATCCACTCACATATTCTCGTGTTTGACAATAATACTCTACAACATATAATTTAATATTGTCTCTAGGGGTGAAGTGGTGAACCTATGCCCCCCAAATTGAATTCCAGGCCAAGGTCAATGTGAGTGGGTTTAGTGATATCTGAGCCACATTTGGACTGTCCACTCCCAACCTTCACCAACCTCGCACTGACCAGCTCAGTGATTTAGGATCAAACAACCCCCTTGACCAACACGAACGTCGGGATTTACATCATTGTTGTTATCATTATAATGACTGTAATTTTTTTAAAGCAATGTCGGAGTTGTTTATTTTTTGTACGCACTTAATGACAACGAGTTGAACATTCTTAGGAGGGTTGGGTAGGGTAAGGAGGCCTTCGTGAGGTAAAAGGCCTTTTGTGTCCTGGTGCTCTGTGGGTCTTTTGTTTTCCTGGTGCTAACAGGAATGACGCCATCAGTCATAATCAGGCTTGCGGTGCAAGCTAGTTTTTGTAGCTAAACAGACAAATCACATGCGAGCACCAGGATAAAATAATGCCCTTTAACCCACTTGGGCCTCTTACCTCACCCTACACAACTATTTGCTTGAGTCTAACGCTATTACGTGATGTTTGTGTGCTTACGTTTCTACTTTGGTGGATATTTTCCAAATGTGGGATATAATTTCTGGCAGTGAGACTTATGATGCATTTGGGCTGAGACACATCTGGATGGCTTTGGTTATTTCTTGACTGGCTGCGTTGGGGGACCACGTTTTCACTCAGGGATACCAGGGGATGGTCGATGGCGGTGATCACATCAAGGAGGCCACCTGGGATCACGTGTCCAGCATTCTGCAGCTGGTACGAAACGAGTGTGCGCTCACACCATTCACGTGCAACCATTCTATATTATTGTGAATTGCAATGTGTTCACTAGCTGAATGCCAACGTCGAACTCTGCTTAGCCACGAGAGGGCTTCAGTAGACAGTTTGTGAAGTTTGGGTTACATGGCCATAATCATAACAATAATATTGATATCCTATAGCCGCTGCCTTTCCCAAAAACAAATGTCCCAACGCACTATTATTTATGCACGTGTGTTGAACTTCTTTTGCACCGTAAGTAGCCAACCGTGCTAATCGGAAGTGCGGGGGAAGGACAACTAACTAAACACAAAAGTCTGTTCTAAAGAAATGAGTTTTCAATCTAGATAGCAATCAAAAGTTGAATGAAATTACCAAATACGTGATGGCTTCGGACGGCCATTGAAGCGCAACTATTCGAAATTCAGTTAAGTGTGCAGGTAGTGTCACAAGCCGAAAAAGTTAAATGTTGACATTTCATTCTTGATTAAATGTAATACTACTTGGATTTGCATAGCGTCTAAATGTAACCGTAAATCTCACGATGCTGTAGAGAGTTGGTGGGACGTGGCGCATCCTGGGGTAAAGAGGCAGAGAAAGAGGCAGTCAGTTCTAGCCAAAGGAAAAGAGGAAGGTCTCGAACCTGGATTTGAACAGGGGCAGGAAGTCGACAGCATGGATGGCTGCGGCAGCAGCAGAGGAGAAAGAGCGGCCTAGCCACACTGAGCAACGATTGACCGGGCGCTTCGACAGAATGCCCTGGGAGTTTAAGGAACGAAGAGTGTATTGGAGGGGAGGGGAGTCGAGTGAAGTGAGAGCAGAGAAAGTTGACAGGGGTGAGTCTGTGGAGGACTCACACGTCATTGCAGCCTTCTACCGCACATCACACACACACTATAACACTTGAACAAAAGAGATAACCAGCAGAAGAAACACAAGTAGGGTTTGTGCTATAAAAGGATAACCTTTTGTAAATGTTCTGCTATGGCAGCGGTGAGTCAAGGAGATCCCAGGAGGGGCGATTTTGGAGGCTTCGGGCATTGCCTGCTTCTCAGATGACATTTTGAGATGCGTAAATGGCCACAATCAGAAGACGAATTATCTTCATTGTGAGCAGAATCTATCCACTGTTAAGTGAGTGCGGTACTTATGCCCAACTTAAGTGCTGCACTTTTCAGGATTATACTAGAAGGCAGAAGGGCACTTGCAAGGCAGAACCAAAGGGCTACTTCGTAGGTCTTTGCGGCATTTCCTGCACGGCTCACCCATGTGCTTTCATAGCGCGTGGCACGATCTGACATCACGTCGGAGAGCTGGAGGACCGGGTCATAGCCACAGACAGCCACTCACTCTACCTGACCCAGCAGTTAAAGCTCAATATCCATCGTCCAGACGACACGGTCTCCCTCTACACTTGCCGCTCAATGGATCTTCACCGTTCCCCCTCGCGTGACCCTGGGCGCGGCACGGCCGTCAGCAGCAGTAGCCTTTGGGACGTTTCAATGGCACAACCGAGCGTTCCGGACGACGCGTCCGGCTTGACCCCTACGGACTCACGCGCACTTTGACCTCTCTCGCGCCCTCCCCTAGGGCGGCACGGCCATCGGCAGCGCGCGGTGCATGGACTTCCGCGAGCACGCGGGCCGTCTGAAGGCGGCGCACAACCTCCTCAAGTGCAGCATCACCAACCTGTGCGTCATCGGCGGCGACGGTAGCCTCACGGGCGCCAACCTGTTCCGCGAGGAGTGGAGCGGCCTGCTCGCCGAGCTGGTCAAGGCCGGTGAGAGTCGAGCGCGGGGAGAAGAGGGGGGCCACAATGTGCCGAGCTACGGAAGAGCAGTGGGGGGGGGGGGGGGGATTGGATGGGAGGGATGGCCGAGGTGGGGTGGGGGGGGGGGGGGGTAGGGGAGAGCTTCATTTAATTCCTCGCGTCAGGGCACATGCTAACCGCCGGGTGAAGTCCGTTGTCCGTGTGCTCCGATCAACGTTGCTCTCTTCCTTGCTGCGCATTTTTGTATTCATCACCCCACAAACTTCCCCAACGCGGTCCGGCTGTCCCTTGTCTTGACGGGCGCCTCGAGCTGCAGCAGCAATTTTGGCGCCGAACAAATGTAGCCCCTCATCATAAGCCGGCATGGGGTTAGACGGAGAGGGTCACAGTGGGGGAATGGCATCGATGAGCGGACCCAGCTGGGCACGGCGAACATCCAGTGCCGGATTGTCATTGCAGCAAAGTAGCTACACATGCTACGGGCCCCGCACTTTCAAGGGCCCCGCGCTAAATGCTTTCAAGCCATCAATTCCGGTTCGGTGATTCTGCACTTGCTCTATTACTATAGTACTATACTGCCTTCAACTTTTATGAACGACTAAGTGTTTGAGGTTAGCGATTTGTCGTATTATCTGGCTGTATAGCAAATGAAAAGATACAATTACTTTACTATGCAAGTAAAAAAATGTGTTTTAATATTTACTAGTTGGTTTTTTTTTATATTTAGGGCCCCTTTATAACATATGCTACAGGCCCCGCACTAGCTTAATCCGGCACTGCGAACACCGCGAGAAGATTGCGCCGACGGGAATGCAGGCGTCCAAATCTGCGAACCCAAAGCTCACAACTGACGAACGGTGGATGGATGGAAACCCCTAGGGCCGGTCGCGGTAAGACGGGCGATCGTTTTGTTCCGCGGTAGGCGGCGTGCGTCACGCGTCCCAAACGGTGTCTCACGTCCGCTAGGCAAGATCACGGCGGAGGTCGCCAAGAAGAATTCCCACCTCAACATCGTGGGCATGGTGGGCTCCATCGACAACGACTTCTGCGGCACGGACATGACCATCGGCACCGACTCGGCGCTCCACCGCATCATGGAGGTGGTGGACGCCATCACCACCACGGCGCAGAGGTGAGCGGCGCTCGGCATCCGCACGCCCGTCGAACAGATCTCACAAGACGCCACGAAATGAAACTTTCTTAACGGGCAAATACGCGTGAACGAAATCGTGTATGTTTTTTTTTTAAATACGACACATTCCATGCACGCGAACGCGTTGAAGGACGCGAATGGAAAATCACTTTGCGCCGTACAGCGGAACCCAACGTGTGACGCGCTCTCTCTCCCTTTGGCAGCCACCAACGCTCCTTCGTTTTGGAGGTCATGGGAAGACACTGTGGGTAAGGACCGCCACTTCACCCGCGTGACTTTTTTTTCCTCTTCTTTCTTATTCGTTAACATCCCACTGCCGAGCAACGTTCTCCTCCAAAGTCTTCCGCTCTGCACGATCACACGCCTCAGATTAGCACGGGTTGGCTACGTACGGTGCTAAAGAAGTTCGACATGCATACATACATACAGTTACCAACTCCGTCCAGTGTACTGCTCAAAATATTAGAAATTCAAACTCATGTTATCATTGCAAACCTCTCTCCTCCCTCCTTACATTGGCCGCCATTCCGTCGTTAGCTCTGCTCGTCTGCCACATGATGCGTCCTGCTAGATATCCTGTCTTTTTTTTCCCACATCGTAAATAACAACAGTAATCCCAGTTTTGATTCTCAATCAAATCATCGTTCACAAATGTGTCGCTCCTCGTTACAAGTAAAATTCTACTTTTCATTGCTTATTTATTGTTGATGATATTGTTTTCTCGCTCGCTGCTTCAACCCTCTCTCCCCATTCAACCCTCCATCCCCGTGCCTGCGTTGCTCTTGCGGATGCACACACAGACAAAGATCCCTCCCCCCAATATAGCTTCACATAGACCGTCGGGGCAAGTGCCTACGAAGGGCTGGGCACGGCAGCAGGAGGACGTGGTTTTGGCGTGCCGGAACCAACCACCCGACCGACTTTGTCTCCCCCAGTGCTGACATTTGCAACACACACACACACTCGTTCACATACTCGTCTGGAGCCGAGTGGACCTGTGGCGCTTGCACGCACGCACGCACACGTGGACGCGCGCACGCACACGTGGACGCGCGTTCGCGCGCACCCCACGCCACGGGAGGAAGTGCCGACGGCATCGTCTCACGTGCCCCCCACCCCCCCCCGACAGATACTTGGCGCTGGTCACGGGGCTCACGTGCGGCGCCGACTTCGTGTTCCTGCCGGAGATGCCACCCGCTGACGGCTGGGAGGATCAGCTGTGTGCCACCCTCACCGAGGTGGGAGTGGGACGGTGCGATCGTTCGCCCGCTCGCTCGCTCGCCCGCTCGCGACGAGGCAGTTGCCCGTGGTGGCTTTTTTTGGCTCCTACTAGAAACTTGAGAGACCCCCTGTGGGATATCGGCATTGTTATACTGCAGGCCACTCTTGATTACTCGGGGCAATGGGGAAAGGGGTGGTTGGGATAAAACTAAAAAAAACACGGACAATGCAAAACATGCATTGTTTACCTACCTGGAATGGGGGATGTGTAGATGTAAAAATGCAACGTCTGCTTTTTTTTATCTTAAAGTAACCAGATTGCAGTCACGTGTAACACCCGCGTCATTGACCCTCAATGAGTGAGGAGCAGCCGATGTGTAAAACCAAGGTACGAATAAGCACGGTTAACATGGAACCCGGAGAGTCTGCCTACGAATAATCGACGGCTGACTAATTGGTTAGTTGAAAGAAAAGACCAAATCATCTGGAATGCGCCATGATCCCATCGGGCCACGTGAGCTCAGCAGGGCCGTGCCTGACCAGTGAGCACACAAAGCAGGCGGAATAGGTGCCAAGAGGGCGGGGGAGGGCATCTGCTGTTGTTCTGCACCCCCCTTCCTCACCAACCTGCCCTCACCGGCACGGTGAAGCCTGCTCAAAGAACGCTGACTGCCTCTACAGCGTGAGCAATCTCCCTTACCTAGCAGTTTGCTGTCCTTCCCCCGCACCTCCGATTTGCACGGTTGGCTACGCACGGTGCGAAAGAAGTTCAGCATATATACATGCATGCATGTATGCATACATGTATATATGTATGTATGCATACATACATGTATGTATGTATGCACCGACCCTTCTTCTTTATTGTCTCCGTGACGTCTGCAGACGCGCAGCCGAGGGGTCAGGCTGAATATCATCATCGTGGCGGAAGGAGCCATCGACCGGCACGGGAAGGCCATCACATCGGATCAAATCAAAGACGTGAGTGACGCCGCGCTGTCAACGACGAGGAATAATGAAAGCCCGCTCGTCTTCCTGCTGTTGCGAGCGATCGACGCGCCGCCCGTTTGTTTTTGCAGATGGTCACCAAGCGGCTGGGCTTCGACACGCGCGTCACCGTCCTGGGACACGTGCAGAGAGGCGGCACCCCCAGCGCCTTCGACCGCATCCTCGTGAGCCGCCACCGCCGTGACCATCGCTATCGTCAATATCACCACGGTCTTCAACATCGTGTTCATTACCTGCCGTCGTCGTCATCAGGAAGCATCGTGTTTACTGCCATGGCCCTGGATGAGCCAATTCCATTAATGGTGGAAAAACCTGAACTGTCGAGAAATATAAAGATGACGGGAAAGGCACGCTGCATGGCGGCTTTCTGGCAGATGGGCAACCATGGTGGTTGTGTCACCCTGCCGTGCGTGTGATGTCTCCGTGGTGGTTGTGCCACCCTGCCGTGCGTATGGTGTTTCCGTGGTGGTTGTGCCACCCTGCCGTGCGTGTGGTGTCTCCGTGGTGGTTGTGCCACCCTGCCGTGCGTATGGTGTCTCCGTGGTGGTTGTGCCACCCTGCCGTGCGTATGGTGTCTCCGTGGTGGTTGTGCCACCCTGCCGTGCGTGTGGTGTCTCCGTGGTGGTTGTGCCACCCTGCCGTGCATGTGGTGTCTCCGTGGTGGTTGTGCCACCCTGCCGTGCATGTGATGTATCCGTGGTGGTTGTGCCACCCTGCCGTGGTGGTTGTGCCACCCTGCCGTGGTGGTTGTGCCACCCTGCCGTGGTGGTTGTGCCACCCTGCCGTGGTGGCTGTGCCACCCTGCCATGCGTGTGATGTCTCCGTCACGCAGGCGAGCCGCATGGGGGTGGAGGCCGTGCTCGCTCTTCTGGACGCGTCGCCCGAGACCCCGGCGTGTGTGGTGTCGCTCTCGGGGAACCAGGCAGTGCGTCTGCCGCTCATGGAGTGCGTGCAGATGGTGAGTGGCCGGTGCAGCGCGAGTACCGAAGTCACGTTGCCAAAGATTAAACGATGGCACAGCATGAGTGAGCTATAGAACTGCCAAAGATTAAACGATGGTACAGCATGAGTGAGCTATAGAACTGCCAAAGATTAAACGATGGTACAGCATGAGTGAGCTATAGAACTGCCAAAGATTAAACGATGGCACAGCATGAGTGAGCTATAGAACTGCCAAGATTAAACGATGGTACAGCATGAGTGAGCTATAGAACTGCCAAAGATTAAACGATGGCACAGCATGAGTGAGCTATAGAACTGCCAAAGATTAAACTATGGCACAGCATGAGTGAGCTATAGAACTGCCAAGATTAAACGATGGCACAGCATGAGCGAGCTATAGAACTGCCAAAGATTAAACGATGGCACAGCATGAGTGAGCTATAGAACTGCCAAAGATTAAACGATGGCACAGCATGAGTGAGCTATAGAACTGCCAAAGATTAAACGATGGCACAGCATGAGTGAGCTATAGAACTGCCAAAGATTAAACGATGGCACAGCATGAGTGAGCTATAGATCTGCCAAAGATTAAACGATGGCACAGCATGAGTGAGCAATAGAACTGCCAAAGATTAAACGATGGCACAGCATGAGTGAGCTATAGAACTGCCAAAGATTAAACGATGGCACAGCATGAGTGAGCTATAGAACTGCCAAAGATTAAACGATGGCACAGCATGAGTGAGCTATAGAACTGCCAACGATTAAACGATGGCACAGCATGAGTGAGCTATAGAACTGCCAAAGATTAAACGATGCCACAGCATGAGTGAGCTATAGAACTGCCAAAGATTAAACGATGGCACAGCATGAGTGAGCTATAGATCTGCCAAAGATTAAACGATGGCACAGCATGAGTGAGCTATAGAACTGCCAACGATTAAACGATGCCACAGCATGAGTGAGCTATAGAACTGCCAAAGATTAAACGATGGCACAGCATGAGTGAGCTATAGATCTGCCAAAGATTAAACGATGGCACAGCATGAGTGAGCTATAGAACTGCCAAAGATTAAACGATGCCACAGCATGAGTGAGCTATAGAACTGCCAAAGACTAAACGATGGCACAGCATGAGTGAGCTATATAACTGCCAAAGATTAAACGATGGCACAGCATGAGTGAGCTATAGAACTGCCAAAGATTAAACGATGGTACAGCATGAGTGAGCTATAGAACTGCCAAAGATTAAACGATGGTACAGCATGAGTGAGCTATAGAACTGCCAAAGATTAAACGATGGCACAGCATGAGTGAGCTATAGAACTGCCAAGATTAAACGATGCCACAGCATGAGTGAGCTATAGAACTGCCAAAGATTAAACGATGGCACAGCATGAGTGAGCTATAGAACTGCCAAAGATTAAACGATGGTACAGCATGAGTGAGCTATAGAACTGCCAAAGATTAAACGATGGCACAGCATGAGCGAGCTATAGAACTGCCAAAGATTAAACGATGGCACAGCATGAGTGAGCTATAGAACTGGTTCTGATAATAAAAATAATGAGTTGTCCCTGTATCCTGCCTAGGCTTTTGTTTTCATTCAAAAGTTATTGCAATTGTAATATTGGTGTCATGCCAAGACACCAATGAGACATCTCCATTTGGAGCTCTTGCAGGTAGCAGCGTGGCACCGCCTAGCGTGTCAAGAGAATAGCCCTGTAAGATGATGTCATGTGACCACTTCTAAAGTCTTCTTTCCATTGGCCTCTTTATCCACGTTTGTCAAACGCTTGTCATATGCCCTGTAAACTGTATTCAGCTTAGCCACTGCGGGCAATCTTTGGCAGTGAATGAAAACATCAAGCCTAAATCTTATATGTTTTACTATTTATTCCTAAGAGCCACAAACTGCTTCGTTAAGTGAAATTACCAACATCTTGACTCGGCAACTGCTACATACGTACATCACACACTGCCACAGAAGTTCAATTTATTTTTAAAAATGTACAATGTGCATGCGTGTGTGTGCGTGCGTGTGTGTGTGCGTGTATGTGCGTGTGTGTGCGTGTCCTTGTGTGCTTTGTTGCTTCTTATTACATAGACTAAAGATGTGCAGAATGCCATGGACAAGGGTCAATTCAATGAAGCAGTCGAACTGCGTGGCAGGCAAGTTGACACCAAATGGCACCGCGTACAGAACGCCATGAGTGGGGAGGGGGGCTGTTAAAGGAGGTCACGTGGGACATGTGAAGTGATGTTTTTAAAAAAAAAATGTGTTACTTTTACCGTGGGTAAAATATCAGGACATCGTTTCAACTAACGCTTCGCCCTCCGCAGGAGTTTCGAGAACAACCTCAACACGTATCTGATGTTGGCCCACAAAACGTCGGACAGAAAGAAGGTAGATCGCACTCGTTTTTCACACCATAAATATTGTGCCAAACAAATCCACCCATCCACACACACAACCTGCACGCAACCCTACAACGCTCGCTTTGGCCTTTCAATCTACACAGAGAGTAAAAAAAACAAAGACCTGCACTTATAGGTGTAGTGAGTCCAACTGAGTCGCAGACGTTGTCTTGGGAGCAACACTATTTATTACATCAACTCAACACAACATAACGTAACCGACACTCGGGTGTTCAACGCCCATCTAACCACGCTATGGCAGAACTAGACACGGTCCCGCTATCCCGGTCCAGACCACGAGCTGGGTCCCGGACCGCGTGGCTAGAGGCTTCTTCAACCCGACGTGGATCTTCACTCACCAACAGTCAAGAACCCCGAGCCCCACACGGGGCCCCCGTTATATCGGCACTGGCTGGGGCTCGCTCCGCCTCTCACCCCGCCCACCTTCTCGATCTCTCTGGCCCTTTCCCGAAGGCTCCCGAGAGCTCTTCTATACCACGTAACCACCTAGCGGCCCCCGTCCACCGGTGGCCCCCTCCAATATCATCCAGTCACCTGTCGGCAGGTCAACCGGCGTATCATGCCCCAACGTAACCTTGGCTGGCTGACACTCTCGCTCTCTCACCGGGAGCTCGCACCGCACACTGTACGTGGTGCCTCTGCGCTAACCAGCGCTTGCCCAAGCCCCGCTAGGGCTGCTACTACGCCCAGTAACCGGGCTGCACATAATGACAACACATTATCCGCCATGGCCTCGCAAGCCCGGCACCACACAGTGACATTCACAGTCACTGCATAGGCAACGTGGAAAGATAATATGGCATTGTTGAACAAAAATGATCATGCCTTGTTTTCAGCACACAATCACCCCTAACCTCCAACCAGCCATCTTTCACAATTTCACCATAGCTGCCACACACCCCCCCCCCCCCCCGTGCCCCCCCCCCGTGCCCCCCCCCCCCCACCACTGATAGTTGACAGCCCACCGTACACTTTGGCTGTTTATTTTATCTTATTTTATAAAAGTCCGGCGCTCCGTTTGTCCGTCAACTCAATTATAAGAGCCTTTCAGAAGGTCTGAATCAAAAAGTTATAGAAAGCGGAGACCCCCCACCCCTCCAGATGTGGGGGTAAAAGTTGATCCAACAGGGTTACAACATTTATCGAAGAGGACATCAGTGGGGGCGAGGCGCGAAGCACCGTGAAGCCCTCCAGAGGAGCTCCGCCGAAATTCGAATTTGTTCAAATGTGGGAAACCGCGCCAATTCCCATATTTGTGCATCACCTCCCTCATTTTTAAACCCTACAATCCATTTTTTTTACCCAATGTAACTGCACACGTACCATTTGAACAAATCATTTGGTGAAGCATTGGTAGTGGTGAATGAAAAACCACAAACAACAATAAACTCAACACTCTTGAAGAAGTGTTGAGTGTAGATCATTCCGGCTTTTTTTCTCTCGCTAAAACGGTAAAGTAGATATATCATGGCTGATGACGGTGATGAAAGTGCTTGCCACAAGGAGCATAAACCATCACCACGCGAACGCCGGTAATCCTCGCAGCAGCGGATTTTGGCTGGCCATCGAACAAAGACGGTCACCGCATCGCACACTTTCAGATGCACTTCTGCGGCCGTCTGGAACGCTCTTCCTTCCGACATTAGGAAGCCTCTGGAGCTATGCAATTTAAAATCTAGATTGAAAACTAATTTATTTCGAACTGCTTTTTGTGTTTAGTTTGTTGTTCTTCCCCCGCACCTCTGATTAGCACAGTTGGCTACGTACGGTGCAAATGAAGTTAAACAACACATGTAACATACATGATGACTGTCCAACCGGGAATTCTCCTGGTACCACAGCAGCGCTTGTTGGCAGGGTGCCCCACTGTGCAACTGGGCCGTCGCATTCGAGGGGGGTTCGCTTACCCAAAAGTGCCGACGTCAGGCATTACAGGGATTCTCAGCGCTAGGCTATTCGGATAGTTTGATTTACAGTTTGCGTTCATTCAATTTGGTAGTTAGGAGCGGCTGTTTCTATATTTGACGGTGGTGTTGTTGTGGTGACGCCACGCCTCACCGAGATCACGGCGAGCAGACAGAGAGTACTCGTAGCCACAGTTCTGTCTTCTGTCATCATCATCATCAGCTATGGTCCAGCTACTGATGGATGAAGGCCTCTCCAAGTTGTCGCCACCTCTCACGGTTTTGTGATGTAACAATCCATCGAGCAGCTGCACACGAGCTCCATCATCTCCCTGGACACGTCCCCTTCATGTAAGAAAACAACGGTAGTCGATTGTCGTCCACCATAAAACTCACCGTCGCGCTCACAAGGCCTTTGAACACGTTTTCCGAGCATCGGGCACCTTCCACATGCCTTCGCCAAGGGCGTTCATCCAGCTATGAAGGCGATTTCATGAAACGTTCAGCAGACATCTCCCCTCTGTGCCTTCGGGTCGGACCGCGTGTTGTTCGGCACGATGCCTGAAATGTCACTCCACGCCCTGGGAGCTTCTTCAGCAACTCAATCGTGGACGTCGGTCATCGTGTCCAACAACGCGCGGTACAACCCCGAAAAACATCTCGCCGGACGATCGTTTCGCCGTTCACACGTTTTGGTAACGGCCGCAGAGGCATTTTGTCAAGGACGCGATGGCTCACGTCTGAAGAATCCTGACGTTCTGGGACTTGTAAAGGACGTTCTCCTTCATTTGGCACCAGAGGGCACTGAGATGCCGGCGGGCGGGCGGGCGGGCGGGCTGGCGGGCGGTCGGTAGTCCTTGATATTTTTAGCAGCCGAGAGGCACGGCTGCTGCCTGCTTGGCTTGCAAGAGAAACCTGAGCGGATCATTTGCCTGCGCGGGCTCTGCGCGGCCAGATTAAGGCTGCCCTTTTCTGAAGTTATGTTAGCCTCATAGAACGAGTATAAATGAGGAAACGCGTCCAGAATCGCTTACCCAGAAATATTTTTTTTGGAAACTTAACGCTACCCACGCGTTTGCACGGGATCCAAGGCTGGGGTGGAGGGTGGTCGGAGGGGAGCGTGACGTCATCACGCAGGTGTGCTTGCAGCCAGCCAGCCAGCAATACTTTTTTTTATCGTGCTGTGTAGTACATTGTCAGGAAAATTGTTTAAGCAATCATGTGATCAATTATTCATGCTCACAATTAAGTCTCCCCTGATTGGTCAAGGTAAAAGTATTGTTTTTATGTTTCTCTAATGAGAGCCCAAGTTTACTCCGGGACACAACAATCAATCAGGCTCAGAATATGTATTTATACTGGAGGAATCCGATAAGCTATAAAGCTACATTTCCAAGATGTCCAGTAGGCGTAGGTAAGAACGTTACAACATCAAACAATTCGAAAACAGGATAGGAGTTCAAAGTACAAGAAAGGTAAATAAATCACCCAAACACACACAAATAAAACTTAAACATCTTACCAGACAAAGCCCACTGAGGTATTAACTTATTTTTACTTGTGTTTTGCATTGTTTCCTTGTCTCTGGAAACACGGACACATCCAACATACACGGGGAAACGTTTTGCCCGGAAACTGTGCGTCTGGAAACATGTTGCCTCGCATGTTGTATAGAACACAGCACCAACGTTCATCAGGCAACCCAGCAGCGTCTGTTTATGAATTTTGACGGGCAACTCCCTGCAGATGGGACTCAATAAGTCAAAACTGATCCGGTGATTTTCCTGATGCAACAAATGCTACGGGAAAAAGTTGTACTGGAATGCCAATAAGTTGATGTATTTGAATGCTGCATTGTTTTCAGACGATGAACCAGACCCATGTCTGTTTAATTGACTTTGGGATACCGCTGGTAAGATTGATCGAATAGCCTCCCATGGGGGGGGGGGGGGGGGGCGGATTGGCTGTAGAAACGATAAGCCAGTACCAGGAACGAATTCTATCGGAAGTCCACGTGCACGCAATTTTACACTTTAACAATGTATGATTTTCAACGGTAATAATCGATTTCGGATTTTAACTCTTTTTTTTGTCTTCCCATAGCCAACCGTTCAGTTGAAGCCCTTTGTACCACATCATTTACGCCAGTGGTTTTCAAAGTGTGGACCCCGGGTTCCACCGCCAGTAGATCCGCGACGGTCCTCCAGGTCGGGCCCGCTGGGCTGTGATGCAAATGCAGGTTGATCCGGAAATAATGACATTAATAATGTTTTGTATTAATGATATCTAGTTTTAAAAAACGAATTTGGGTAAACTAATCTGGTGAGACTACCCCTAACCCTAATGTCTAAATGCCCTCCCCCTAATAGAAAAACTTACAGCTGTGCTTACAAAAAATTTTTTATGTTCTGGTAATATTAATCACTTTGTATGAGTGCTATTTAGAGAGAAGTGAATTCGTTTTGCCACCAGGAGCAGGGGGGCTGTGTGGTCAGCGGCAATGTTTGCATCGGTCCGGGGGCTAAACAGTTTGAGAAACACTAGCTGATGCTGAACAGCTCGATATGACTAAGTAGACACAAATGTTTATCCCATCCCGATGTAGAAACGCTCCATTTCTCATGCTTTCCTTGCTCACAATTTAAATATGTTTTGTCTGTCTGTATATCTGTCTGTCTGCATCAAGGCCGTAATTATAATATATATTGGGGGGGACACATCCCCCCCAATATTCAAATATGCTCAAAATGTCCCCCCCCCAATATATTGCTATAAAAACGATTTCTGTTTATATGATTGTGGTTATTGGTGTACTTTATAAATCCCTAATCTTTGCCATTACATACAATGAAACAAGAAAAGGTAAAAAATAAAAAAATAGAGCAATGTAATACAATACACTATTAGACATTGTTAAAAATAAATAAAAAGTCAATCCTATGTGTTAGTGAATTTTTTAAATATTTTAGGCAGGAAATTAGTTTTCAAATTTAGATTTTTTTTCTGGGGGGGGGGGACCCCCAGACCCCCTGGAAGATTTGGTCCCCCCCCCAATGTTGACTCCATGGCTACAGCCTTGGTCTGCATGTCTATCTCATTGGTTATCTGTATTATTGTCTGTCGATTGTTCCATCTCTGTCGTCTTACCCGTCTGTCAGTCTGACCGGCTGATGCACATGCCCGCCCGCCCGAGTGTCTGCCTGTCTCACCATCCTCTCCCCGCTGACCCGGAGTGTCTGCCCATCTTTCCTGCCCGATTGCCCGCGGCTCGGTCCGTCCGTCTCTGCCCCATCCCAAGACGGGCTTCGTGCTCGGCGTGCTGTGCGTTGGCGCCCCGGCGGCCGGCATGAACGCGGCTGTGCGCTCGGCCGTGAGGGTCGGCATCATGGAGGGGCACAAGGTCTTCGTGGTGCACGACGGCTTCGAGGGGCTCGGCAAGGGCGAGGTCCGACCCGGCTCACCGACACCGTTTGCACAGCAGACGTGGCTCATGCGGTCGCTCATTCCTTCCCCCTCTCCCTGCTCCTCACCTTCATAGCCTGGGCCCACCCCCCCCCCCCCCCCCCCCCGCAAACCGTGCTGTTGACACCCTGCTCCTGTTCAAGTCCAGTTGCCAGACCTTCCCTTCATTCAGTACAGCCCGTTCCCATGAACCAGGGAAGTTTGTAGAGCCGTCGTAGGTCTATAAACTCGAAACTATTCAGAGTTTATATAAGACTATAAACTATTTTTTTTATTTTGCCGGGTAAGGCACACTGAGCTATACAGTACAGCTCTTTTGCAGAAGAGACCTGGCCACAAATGATAGCTCAACGAAGTGGCTCATCACGTAGAAATGTATAGCAGCCAAATACTTTAAACGCGCGTTTCTAAATGGAGGGAAAAACTGTATAACCCAGAGAAAAATCCACACAACCACGGGGAGAACACACAAACTCCAAATATACAGGCGTCAGGGTCGGGATTGAACCCACGACCTCCTGTATACCAGACGAAATAGTTAACATCTCTCCACGTGGTACGATAGAAAACTGGCAGTAACAACTCTCTCCTGTTTCTCGCCATTTACCGCTGTGAATCTCACGGTGGCTGCAAAGTTTATTTAGCGACAAGAATCCCACTCTGAACTAGGACTCCAGTTTCAGCGTGCACCTTCTAATCTCTGTAGTTGCTGACTTGCCCCCACTGGACATCTGTTGAAAGAGAGCTTTGTAGCCCATCGGATTCCTGATTCTGAGTTGTCATTGGTCCCGAGCTCCCGTTCTCTTCCCGCACACCTCAACTCTGCAGGAACCCCAGCGCCATGTCTACACGTAAGTTGAACTTCTTTCGCGCCGTACGTAGCCAACCGCGCCAATCGGGGGCGCCATCTGCGGAACACTTCCCGCCATTTCTTCACCCCAGCTGTCAATGAGACGCCTCATCCACGCCCTCCTCGTCAAATCTCGACTCGACAGATTGCCTCTCCGTATCCAGGCAGTGGATTGACAACAAAAAAAACTGCTTTAGAAAAGTTTTTTTTTTAAACAACGGTTTTATTAACAGCTTCGTTTAACTCACGGTCTAGAAGTACGTCAATGATGCGGCACCTGCTCCCACATCAACGCTTACTTGAACTAATAGATTCTGTAACTTTATGGACCGCGGCGGTTTTTTAACCTACACAAATACATTTTTAATGAATAAGCCGTACATACAAAATGTTAATTGCTTTAAAAGAGCCAATTCATTGATTAATTGAGGCCGATTTTGATACAGGCATGCATTGTCACCGGATCTGGGTAGCTGTGCAAAATTTGTAATTGATTGGACAACAGGACGTAGGCTAAATTTGCATTGCAAGATTTGACCACGACAAACACAAGTCAAGTTAAGTAAAACCGTTGAAAAAGGGGGCAGCACAAGTACACAGGTGCCTTGCCAATGGTCGACGCCCCTTTCCGCTCACGCGTGCCCTAGATTGAGGAGTTCACCTGGGGAGACGTCGGTGGCTGGACGGGGAAAGGTGGCGCCAACCTTGGGACTAAGCGGTGAGCGGCCGTGTCGCTCGCGGAATCAACGTGGTGACCCCCACCCCCCAGATGCCACCGAATGTCTTTCCTACTAACTCTGTACAAGTACGCAGTGAAAAACCCGTCCGTTGCTATCGCAAATGGCCACACGAGACGCAAGAGGGATCGCGCGATGCCTGTGCGTGCCTCTCTGTACGTTGCGCCTGTTTTTTGTGCCTTCTCGCGTGTTCTCCATTCCCCGAGTTCGCATGGCTTGGCACAGATGCCACGGTGAAATCACCGCCAATTAGTGGACAAAGGCAGCTGTTTATACGCATGCGTGCATGTATCTATAGTACTTGCATTCATATTTTAATTAAGTCTTTCCAGGGCGTTTAAAAATAAATCATGACTGAATATTTTTCATGTGACTGGTGAACCGGAGTACGCACGTACATATGTGTACGTGTCGAGTATATGTTACATATGTATGATCTGCTTTCGCACCATATGTAACCAACCACGCTTTTCGGAGGTGTGACTAATAGCCAGAGCCATAGTGAAAAGTATACTGGATGAGGTGTGCCGAATGCATACGTATATTTTGGGTCGCTAACCCGGGACAGACCCAGCTGAATATTCGCCCTCTGTGTACCCATATCACTGGCTAGGTATGTATGTACACACCAAACTGACTGCTCATTTGCCCGGGCTTCTCTTTTGAAGGGGACCTGAATATTTGTTTAAGGATCTATATATATGTGTAGTGCCGTGAATTCACTCGGACGACAACAGTCTCTTTTTCCGCCGTCACTTTTATTCCATCGTTCCGTACACACAGTAATTCTCTCCGTGCTCCGCCAACTCGGACACTCCGATTTACTTCAGCATCGTCCGTGCATCCCCTTCCACACACAGTGTTCCTTCCTCTATCTCTACACACACAGTGTCTTCCCTTCCACACACAGTGGTTCGTCTTCTATCTCCTCACACACAGTATCGCCGCTATCTCTTCACACGCAGTGACTTTCCTTCCACACACAGTGGTTCGTCTTCTATCTCCTCACACACACAGTATCGCCGCTATCTCTTCACACGCAGTGACTTCCCTTCCACACACAGTGGTTCTTCTTCTATCTATTCACACACAGTATCCTGTCTGTCTATTCACACACAGTGACTCCATCTATCTATTCACACACAGTGACTCCATCTATCTCCGCTAACGCTGACTCTCCCTATCGCTATTTACTGTCTTTGGGGTCCGGCTCTCTATCAATTCTTCCCTAACATTTCCAGCTGTCTTCTTCGTATCTCTTCACCTCTCGCCAACAACTGCCCAGCAACAACTCTCCAACAACAACTCCCCAGCAACAACTCCACTCCGTTCAAACCACCTCGCGTTTTATCCCCTTTCGCATTAGCCTTAATTAATTGCCACGTGGCTCGCTGGCCGTTTTCCGCCAGCTCGCACCTGTCCCCTCCATCAGACATCCAGACGCCACCACTTAACACTAACAGCCTCTCGACCAATCACAGCCCTCGTGCCACGACTCCCTTAATTACTTGGGGTTGTTTACGCCACCCGCGACTCGACCACCTGTTCGACCTCATGTGACCCGTTCTCCTTGTCTGTCTGTATGTACTGTATATGGCCAATTCCTATGCGTATTGTTTACTCCACTACATATGTATTAAAAAAATAACGTATCTTATATCATTTTTTCAGAACCCTACCAAACACATGTATGGACAAAATCGTGGAGCAGATTAAAAAGCACAAGATATCGGCCCTCCTCATTATCGGTGGATTTGAGGTGAGCTGTCACGTCCCATCATGTTTGGCGTTTCATTTTCCACTTTTTTTTTGCCCACGCTTTTAATGATAATTATCCAGAAAATTATGTTTGGCCTTTAAGGAGTGTACTTGCGTGTGGGAGGAAACTGGAGTAGCCTATAAGAGTACAAGACTCAAAGGTCCACAAAGATGGGTGTATGAACACCTCTTGCTGCCCCGCAATCTTCTGGCAGACTCCCAGCCCGGTGGACTCAGGAGTCTCACAAATCTTGATCCACCAACCCTCGCAACCACTGTCAGCCCTTGTACCCGTTTTCAGCAATTTTGACGTTTTCTTAGTTGTTGTTGCTGCTGTGCCCATGCAGCACCACGCATCTCCCGTGTAAGACAGCCGGGCAACTGGATAAACGGGACCATCATGCGTACAAAACAAATCTAAATGAACTTCGGGAGCCACTGGGTCACTGACATGCACCACTGCACACTGCTGACGCATCATCTGGCTTGCGCCCTGGAAATCGTTGCTGAGCGACGTAAGCGGCCGCCCGTGTCGTTCCTGGCGTCCGGGTCGTACGCTCTGAAGGGCAGTGGAGGACGCTGGTGTCACGTGTTATGGGTGCGTGTGTGTGTGTGTGTCGCACAGCACAAGTGTGTGTATCGCACAGCACAAGTGTGTGCATGTTTCTCGCACTGGCAGAGTGGGGAGCACCGTCGGTGGTGCATGTGCCCATCATCTCAGACAGTGAACCCATGACCTCCTGGGTCTGTCCATTGAACTTGCCAGCGAGCCTTTGACACGTGTGACCTCTTAAGCGCACCTAGAATGGCCCACGCACTGCAGTGATGTCGCCGGAACTTATGGACGAATGGCAGCTGTTGTGTCCCACGAGCCTCCAGCTGAGTCAGGGGCTGTCGACGCATTAGGCAAATTAGGCAGGGTCCACTTTCATGGTAGGTGTCGCCATGCCGGTCACTTGAGCCAACGCTGACCATGACGGAGAGTGGCGCTGGCATTGGTTGAGTGGCCGGTCGAAGTGGGGCCTCATTCGAACTTCGAGGTCAATGTCCTTGAAAACCACGTGGGCCAGTGTCGCCTGGCTCGACGAGATATTAATCTAGCAGGCGTCCCCGCCAGGCCATGGAGGGCGCGATGCAGCTGGCGAGCGGGCGCGGGCAGCACGAGGAGCTGTGTATCCCCATGTGCGTCATCCCCGCCACCATCAGCAACAACGTGCCCGGCACGGACTTCTCCATCGGAGCCGACACCGCCCTCAACACCATCGTCGAGGTAAAAAGCACCCTCTCCTTCCGTGTGTTCATTCAATGTCCCGGTGACTGACGCCACAAAAGCTTAAGAGAGGCAACTCCCCATTAATCCGGGGTAATTCTGGAATGATCTTGATGAGTGTTTAGATTAGCTGCCGACGTGTATTGTGGCACTGTCCATCGGTGAGTGAGGAGTGGCCCAAAAAAGGGGCGAAGGGGCACGGTTCGAGAGGTAACTCTACGGGAAAACGTTTGGCCCGCTCATGTTCGGTAAAGCTACGCCGGAATATGAGAGCAAAATCAGTGGCTCGTTGCAAGAATCAGCTAAAATGGCATTTCGCTTGTATCGTTATTAGCTGCAGTATAATTTTACGGGGGGGGGGGGGGGGGGACTTCACGTGTTTTATACATCTGGCCACAGAAGCACTGTAAAGGAGAGATCATGTTACTTACTATACACCCTAAATATAAATGAGCAGGGGGGGGGACCTAATAATGGCAAATGGTTGCGATGAGACCCTCGAAGTGGACCTTGGAGATTGAGTGTCATATTGGAACGTGCGAGGGGTGTGGCACCGTACAGAAGGAAGTGCAACGCCACTCAGCCACTCACTCATGAACTCACGCACATCTAAGTATGTATGTTGAGCTTCTTTCACACCGTATGTAGTCAACCATGCTGATCGGAAGTGCGCGGGAAGGACAACAAACTAAACACAAAAAGCTATTATAAACAAGTTAGTTTTCAAAGACAACGATCTCCCATATAGTCAGCACCTACGAAGGCCAAAGCGGCACACGAGGGGGTGGGTGGCCAGCACCACGCCCGACTGCCTTTGTCTCCCGAGTATCAATGTTTACACGCAGCACCAGCTACTCATTTGAGGCCCAGGACTTGTTCAGATAATCTTCACAAGTGTTGGCCGCGAGCGGGAATCGAACTCGGGCCGGCGGGTTCGTAGCGCAAGCGCGCCAACCGCTGACACTACCGCGACCCACCCACAGTGGTGCCGAAGATGCATGATCTCTGTGAAATCTCCGCGCCTGCCCCATGCTTGCAGACCTGCGACCGCATCAAGCAGTCGGCCAGCGGGACCAAGCACCGCGTGTTCGTCATCGAGACCATGGGCGGCCATTGCGGGTACCTGGCCACCATGAGCGGCCTGGCCGCTGGGGCCGACGCCGCATACATCTTTGAGGAGACCGTGACGATCCACGACCTGCAGGTAACAAAAGGCCCGGAACCGTTCTCGTCGAAAGCGCACACTTCCCTTAAGGGGGGGGGGGGGGGGCACCGTTGTCGACCAGCTGTCTTCAAAAGACACCCGGCCATCCTGGAAGAGCAGTCCAAATACCCGCCAGAGTTCCCTCTAGTTCGAGGAGGCCCTTCCACCAGCAGTGGTGTGAGCAAGCAAAACCAAAAGCTATGTTTTATTTCACCAGATAAGGCCCATTGAGCTATATAGCTCTTTTCCAAAGTGATCTGGCTATCACAAATGAGAGCTCACCGAAGTGGCTTATCACGTGGAAATGTATCGCAGCCAAATACCCGAAACGCACGTTTATACTAAATGTGGCAATTCCAGTTTATCACCATTTTACCTGTCCACCTATTGACGAGCAAGTTGGGTTTTTGTTAATTGTGCTTGTGCACCACCACCGACGTAGCATGGCACGTTTGTTTTTCGTCAAATTTCCGAGACCTGCAGGTGCAAGCTGCCACTTGGTTTCAGAGAGGCCGTTACGTTTATCCATTTTCCAGAGTAGGGATTAGCTCTAGGCGTGTTGTTCGGCACGACGTCTGACGTTTCACCCCACCTGCCGGGACAGCTTCTTCAGGAACTGAATGTTGGTGAGCGAAAGTGGCACAACTGAAACAGCCCTACGCAGCAGAGCAGAAACTGGTACCACATGAGGTCGCAAAATTTTTAAGTGATACCAATTTTCTTTTTTATGACCAATAAAAGTGGTCATAATTAAGTGAATTATGCGTTTCAGAAGGCTAACACGTAATTTAAATTAAAATCCTCCTTGAAATTACTCCCTATGTACAGGCCCGGAAATTTGTGCAGCTTTTTTTGAGATGCGGTCGCAGAATGATAATTCCCAATTTTATTATACTGCAATGTAATTCACTTAAATTGGTCATATTACTCAATTGGTACGACAAACCTTATGTGGTACCAACTGGTGGAATACTTGAATCTGTGCTCGGTGATGTAAAACATCTGTCGTGGCATCGATGACAGTGGTACAGGGAAAACAACACTCAGGGTGTTTTACAGAAACCGATTGACATTGGTTCTTAATCTCACGAAAAAAACCGGATCGAATTGCGTGTGCACCGATCAATGGTTATTTTTCTTCTCGCGTACCGCATGTTGTAGTTAATAAAAACAAAAAATCAACACATTCCTCGATAATGCCGTGGAACTTCAAAGGAAAAATGTATAATGGCCGACGTTTTGGGCAGTGTTTGAGTCCATTTGATTTTATGTAACTCTCCGCAAATGACGACAGTGATAGAAACATTTTATTACTAGGTGACTTTTGGGGAACGGCTCTTCTTCATAATGGATAAATCCACTGTGGAGATATCGCAATGGACGCTTTATATGACCCTGGAGAAATTCGATGCTTAATCAATCTGGCGTTCACTGCAACGGCACAATTGCAGCGGTATAATAAAACATATTTTAAGATCCAATCTGTAAATTGAATTAGATGGTTGTTATTGTAGCCATGAACTGGTAACAGAACATGGCTTTAACGTGGCACTAATTGGTGCATTGCGAGTAATCAACGCAACTATCATGACGTGGCCCTCTCTGTTATCTTTGCGTTCAGGCCAACGTGCAACATCTGACGGATAAAATGAAGGGCTCGGTCCGTCGCGGCCTCATCATCCGGTGAGTGGCGCTCTCAAGAGTATAACGCCGTTTCAATCGCGGATTTGGCTGGGGGCGTTTTGCCGTCGCCTTGTCGCCATTTCACTCCCCGCGCTCTCGTCACGACAGTAACGAGAAGTGCAACGCCAACTACACCACGGACTTCATCTACAACCTCTACACGGAGGAGGGCAAGGGCGTCTTCGACTGCCGCAAGAACGTGCTGGGCCACATGCAGCAGGTGTGCGGGGGACTTCCCCTCCTATGGCGAGACGTGAACTACCTCGCCTGGTGTGCAGGAGGTCGTGGGTTCGATCCCGACCCTGACGCCTGCTGCTGCTGCTGTATATTTGGAGTTTTTTTCTGTCTCTCTCCCCGTCGATTTTTCTCCGGTCCTGCGGTTTTTCCCTCCACATTTAGAAACACACGTTTAGAGCGTTTGGCTGTTATAAATGTTCCCATGATAAGCCACTTCGTTGAGCTTTCATTTGTGGCCAGGTCGCTTCTGAAAAAGAGCTATACAGCTCAGTGGGCCTTACCTGGTAAAATAAAATAGAATGGAGTTTTTAGTTTACAATTGACACTTTTTAGCGTTTGAAAAAAAGCAAGAGGTTACAATTCTATTTTTAATGTTGTAAGCCATTCCACGGCATCCGGGATGGTGGCTGAGTGGAGTAGTTCTCTAGTTACACCAGAGTATGTGTGATTATATTGGAAAAGCTGAGTGGAGTCGTCTGCTAGTTACACCAAAGTACGCGTGGTTGTATTGGGACAGCTGAGTGGAGTAGTCTGCTAGTTCAACCAGAGTGCACGTGGTTGTATTGGGACAGCTGAGTGGAGTCCGCTAGTTCAACCAGAGAGCACGTGGTTGTATTGGGCAGCCATCAGTGATGTGCGCCTGATTGTTTGCACCTCACCACATTCGCAGTTTGGTGGGGTCCCTGATCGTTACGGTTATGGAGAAAATATCGACACCTTCCACGCGTAGTTCGGACAAAGATTGAGAGCGGTCCACTGTCCGCTTACCTATTGATCAGTGGTATAGCTATCGAGCGTGCAGGCGGTGCAACTGAACAAGGAGCCCTCGGGGCCGGAAGGGTCCAAGCGCCGGGATGAGAAGGAGAGGACATTTGACAACAGAAGTTCCCATTTTTCACTCGTCGTACAGAGGGCCGATGCCAAGCGCGCAAGGTCATACTGCTCTTTATCATCAAGTTATCTTCGAACTGAACCTAATTGCATTTTTGCTACCCTTGACATAACAATAGCAGCAATGTAATTGATTTATTCAGGAAAGCCTCGTTTGAATTATTACTCCTCAATTACCGCGGTATGCAAATTGAAAGCTACACTTTATGCCGAGAATACGCACGTAAAATAGATTTATCTTCGAGTCATGTTGACAGTGTATCGCCATTGCTTCGTGGAAACTGTGTGGCCCACTACATATTCTGCTTGCATTGGGCCGTGGACAAACAATTATGAAACAATCTGCTCGCAATAACAGCGCAGGCCGGAGAACCATACGTTTCAGACAACACACAAATGTGTGTAAAAAGCACCCAGCCGTTTGTGCACATGGGGAGAAAAAAAATACCCATCAGCATTTCCTGAAGTCTATTCCATCCTGAAGTGCTGATGATGATGATTTTTTTTGTTGTGCCTACGCACATATGGCCGTGTGATTTTTATTAATTTCCCTGTCTTGCTTGAAAAAACGATGGATTGATAGAATCCTGACCCTGTCACCATGGCAATTCACTACATCGTGACGGCGGTCAGTCAGTGCATCGCCATTGCTCAGTAAAAGTACCGCTTCAACCCGTAGCATGATTTACTCGCTGGAGTAAACACAATCAGAATACTGGGGGGGTGGGGGGGGAATAATATGAGCTACTAGCTTTACTACCCGGCTTCGCCCGAGACTTGGATTATTGTCTTGGATTAACACACGGTCTACCGGGAGGGTTGGGAGGAGGGGTGCGTGACGTCAGAAGGCGCACTGCGTGACGCTGCCGCGTGCGGGTAACATCACAGATGTGACGTCACCGCTCACTAGCCGTGCAAAATATATCCATTATTGCGCCCCCTCCCCCCCCCCCCCAAAAAGTCTATGTTTATTCTTTTTGCATTGTGTACAGTCTGGAAGCTATCCACATGCCAAATTTCAGGTTTGTTGCATGTCGGGAAGTATACAAAAAAAATGTCCCTTTTATATATAGATATACAGCTCTTTTTCACAGATGTCCAGTAGGGGCGAGTCAGAAAGGTGCAACAAACAATCAATACGAAAACACGATAGGAGTGTAAAGTATAGGAAAGGCAAACAAATCACAAAATATATATATATTTATTTTACCAGGTAAAGCCCACTGAGCTATTCGGGGTTTTTTTTTTCTTTCCAGAAGCAACCTGTGCGATTGTTAACCTCTGCTGCACCGCTGTTTGCGTGCCCACAGGGTGGCCGCCCAACCCCCTTCGACAGGAACTTTGCTACCAAATTGGCTGCCAAAGCTGTGATGTGGGTCTCCAAGAAGCTGGATGAAACCTTCAGACAAGGTGAATGACAGCAACTGTCCCCCCCGCCCCAACCATACCCACCACCGCTCTCCTCTTTCACCTTAGGCACAGCAGCAGCCTGCTGTCGTGCCTGATGGTATTGAACAGATCGTGCCGTCTCGCAGTGAGATTTTGTGCCCACAGATCCCCATCTTTGTTCTCCGCCGTCCTCAAACATTTTCTTCTGTTCTAGATTTGAAGCTTTCGTGACTGCAAGGATCCATACTCTTTGGTTCTATTCGGTAAAGTCACGTAACAAACAACAAAAAATGAAAAATTCACGACGTTTCGGCCACAGCTCAAGTGGCCGAAACGCCTGATGAAGGCCACTTGTGTTGTGGCCGAAACGTCGTGAATTTTTTATTTTTTGTTGTTTGTTACGTGACTTTACCGAATAGAACCAAAGAGTATATTCTTCTGCCTTGACACCTCTCCGCTCCTTTTGATGTTTATCAATCAAGTTTTGTTTTTCTTTATCACCCAGGTTTCTTTTAGGCACTTTCTTGGTTGGATTTTGACAACCATTTGGTCGGGTTTTGTTTTAGCAGTCGAAGAGTGAATAGCACGCCACAGGCCAGAAGTGGAAATTAAGAACACGTTGGGGTTATTGGGGAGGCCCTCATCCGGGGTCGTCGAGTACATTAACCATGCAAGGCAAAACTAATATTGCACTGTAGGCCGAATTGTGACGGAGCACATCGATGAGACGAACTGCAGGTGGCAGTGAATTCCCTGGCGTGTCTCTGAAGGCACGACACAGGAAGTCAAGAGATCAGAGGGTGGGCTCGCTCTATGGTCTATGGTATAACCGACGTCTTACATTATCCCTCAAGCATGAGTAGAGCCGCTTGCGTTGTGGCCGAAACGTCGTGAGAATTTCATTGTGTTATTTTATGCTCATTCTACGTGACCTTACCCAAAGAACCAAAGAAGATAGAGCCGTCAAGTCTCACTGAAACGTCTGTCTCACGCATTCGCACACACGCAAAAAATCATCGCTCACGATCAATCCACTGCTGGATGACGAAGGCCTCCCCATTCACTGCTATTGCCGAATGTGATACGATTTTAGTTAATTGTTTGCAACTGCCAACGCGCAGTATCACCAAATCATTTGTCGTTCGCGTGAGCTCTTCAGCCGCTAGAGACCGCTACAGTCATCACAATGTAAACATTTTAAATCGATACTTGAACGGAATTGTTACGTAAGTAGATGGACGCGTCGCCAATAGCGACCTCTAGTGGCGATGACCGCGAACTGATCAGGTTCGACATTCGCACAGGGTGCGATCAACTTTCTAGTACGGAGGGTGAAATAGAATGTTTATTACTTGCCCACACTGACCAGTGTGGTGAAGTATGGTCAAACAATCCCCATGATCGACACAGCATGATGTCTTCGTCCAATATTTATAGATTGACATTTAACTGAAAATAATATCACGTGAACACATGGCGAGGCGGTATTACCTGAATGTGTAACATGCACTTTGAAATAATTATATTAATAATCATTATGAGTTGTAAATTGGGAAGCTTCGCGGAGTCCAGTGACTATTTTTCAGGAGGTTCCTGCTGCAAGAACGCCACGGTGGCGAGATGTTGACTACCTCGCCTGGTACGCAGGAGGCCGTGGGTTCAATCCCGACCCTGACGCCTGCTGTTTATTTGGAGATTGCGTGTCTCTCTCCCCGTAGTCGCGTGGATTTTTATCCGGGTCCTCAGGGGTTTCCCTCCACATTTAGAAACATGCGTTTAGAGTATTTGGTTGCTATAAATTTCCAAGTGATAAGCCACTTCGTTGAGTTATCAATTTGTGGCCAGGTCACTTCTGAAGAATAACGATATTTCTCAGTGAGCCTTCCCATGTAAAATAAAAAAAAAAATGTTCACAGTTTAATAGTTTACATTGGGATATGTGGCCAACTCCAAAAATTAGTGTTTGGCTTCTTGTGGGGAAAAAAACAGAGAAACTAGAGAAATCCCACACGCATAGGGGGTGACACTCAAAGCTCCGTACAGATAGATTCAAGAATCCATTGCTGGTGTGGGAGGTTGCTCCAGTGTTCTCGCAGCCAGCCCCAACTCTACGACACCTCAGGTCTGAGTCCAGAACAACGCGTGCAAATGCTAGAAATGGCATAATTCATTCACATCCGATAAAGACATTAAGACAAACCTCATGAAGTTAGGAGGGAACTTAGGGATGGTCATTTGTCAGTCAAAAAACATCAACCAATAACTACTAACATGACATCATTAATGAACAACATTAACATCACTAAGATTTATAAAAGTAATACCATTAATAACAAATATAATCGGCATTCAAAATGTATATACTTGCCTGTGACTGGCTAAAACGCAGAGAGGGGGGGGGGGAGTGATGACGTCACGGCTGCTGCTTTGTGACGTCATAACGACCATATTGTTTTTGTGACGTCATGGAGTCGGGGGGGGGGTGTTGATTGGCCGGTGCAGTGGGGAGTGATGACGTAATCAGCCGCAACCATGCCACGCCCACAGCATTGCAATCACACCACGACGCCTGAATTTCGTTTGAATGTATTTACGTTTACTCTTGCGACATTTCCGATATTACTATCTTGTCTTATATAGATTTATGCAGCGCTTTAAAATACATTAATTGTAAAGTTGTACATTCGATGATAGTGGTGAACATAGAGAGTTAAAAAGTGGTGGTGTAGTTATAGTGACAGTAATGATGGGTGGGCGTCGTTAAGGAGGAGTTGGGGTAGGAGTAGTGACAGTGGTTGTGGGTAGGCCTGATCATAGCTGGGGGCCAGGTCAGGGAGTAACAGTCGAAGGCAAGAGGGACGGTAGAGACTGGGAGCGTAGAGGATGGACGGAATGGGGGACAGAGTGAGTTAAAGATGAGAGAAGCAAGATATGGTGGGTCAAGGCAATGGGGGGGTTGGAGGGGGGGGGGTGTATTTGTAGACGAGAGTGATGAGTTGTAAAAAAAGACAGCGATAGTAGACAGGGAGTCAGTGGAGTTGGGAAAGTAGAGCGGAATTGTGGGGGAAGTTTTTAAAAGGATCCTGGCTGAGGCATTTTGTGTCTGTTGGAGAGGAGTGAAGACGGATAAAGAAAGGACAGATTCGGCGTGTTCAGGCCCCTTGATAATCCCAAAGCCATCCCTCGATAAAGTACTCCCCTGCCTCAGCCCTGCCATTGTAAATTCAAAACTTATTATGAGAGTGCATACATTTATCCAGGGGGGATAAACAATTATCTACCCTGAAGGTGCAATTCCAGGGGATGAAGCAGACGTTAATCATCAAATCACACCCTGTATTCATGCATCCCATACCCTGAGTACGTCACGTGTACAGGCCTTTGTCAATCCACTGCTGGATGAGGGCCTCTCAGAGTGCCATGCAGTCTGTGGAGGCAATTTGTCTGCAATTCAGCACGCTGGTTAGTGCAGGGAGTTGAGTGTGGGGAGCGTATACCGTGGGAACATAGAAGTGAAGTCCACCAATGGATTTTGCTATTCCGCCCTCTGCTGCCAAAAGCATTGTCCTGCAGCAGTCTATACCATCTGTGTTGTGCATGGTGGTTACCCACAGAAGCACTATCCAGGCTCACTCCTGCTTGGCTTCTGATGTCAAGTAATTTGGTTGTAGGCTTTGTGGAGGAAAGAGAAAAGATATTGTATTTCTGTGGGTTCCTCATTTCCCTTCAAATGGAGGGTGTGATGGATGGATGTATAACCGCATGAGATCCTACACCGAACCCCTATCTCCACATTCCGCAGCGAAGCCTCACTTGCAGGCTCAAGGAAGGTCAAAACCCCAACCAAATCAAAACACTCCACACAATCAAAACATTTACAGAGAACTGGTAATGCCAATCATCATTCACCTCAATTATTTAATTTGTCAAGTCATTAATAATAACTTCTGGGATGAAAACCTCCCAGTGTCTGTGTCGGTCATCGTGGGTTTGTCCAACCATACTTCACCACGCTGGTCAGTGCTGGTTGGTCAACAGAGGAGCCTCGGACTGGTTCAGATGTCACATGCCACTGATTTAGCCTGTGGCCGAGAATTAAACTTAGCTGGCCGGATTTATAGTGGAGAGCACTAAAGACTGCACCACCTGCAAATTTAGTAAGTCATTCAGTATCACGATACACTTAGCAGTGTTGGGCAGTGGTTGGTTGTAACAGTGCATTATTAGCCTGGCAACCTGGGTTCGATTCGCAGCAAACAGCAAATATCAATTGAAGCTCAAAAAAATATATGAGACCCCCTTATTTTTCATTATCACGTTCAGATTATGCAACCACACTCCACATTTCTTTACTTTTTATAGTCAGCATTTTAATCCCCCCGCAGTCTGCTTTCAATGCCAATTCCAGGAGTACGTACGCTGACGCGTATTCCAGCTGGGCCCGTCCAGAAATTATCTTAGCTCGTTTAGCGGATAACAAAGTTTGGCATTCCAGCATCAGGGGCCCCTCCGTCTTAGCGAATGCCTCAACTGTCAACGGTTCATCCCCCGCAGCAGCTGCGGTTTGTGACACGACCGATCGCTGCCCGTGCTGTTTTCCGGCAGGTCGCGTGTTCGCCAACTCGGATGACTCGGTGTGCCTGTTGGGCATGCGCCGCCGCGCGCTCATGTTCCAGCCCATCAACTCGCTCAAGGATCAGGCCGACTTCGTGTGAGCCTCCCCGCCTCGGCCGCACCACACACCGACGCCGCAACAACGCCCTGCGCAGATCTCGTCACATCTGCGTCCACAGCTCGTCGTGCACCACAGATAGCGGCGGATTCCCACACAGACGAACAGGACGGACGGACGGACGGGCAGATGAATGGATGGATGGATGGACAGACGAACAGACGGACGGACAAAAAAAATATGTGGCAGACCGATGGATGGATGGATGTATGGATGGACAAACACACGGAAAGATGTAGATATCAAAATAAAAAGGAATCGTGAATAGACAGATGAGCAGCCAGGCAGATGGATGGATAGACTGATAGATATATGGACAGCCATACAGGAGCTGCTTTTGATTTAAAGCTTTCGTGACTGCAGGGATTCATATTCTTTTATTATCTTATTGTTTCCCTTCTACGTGACTTTACCGAAAGAACCAAGAATACAGGAGCTGCTTTGTTAATTTGTGTGTCCCCACCAGACGCCGCATTCCCAAGGAGCAGTGGTGGCTGAAGCTGCGCCCCATGCTCAAGATCCTGGCCAAGTACAAGATCAGTTACGACATCACCGATCTGGAGGGACACCTGGAGCATGTGCAGAACCGCCGGGATTCTGAGTCCACCAAGGTCTAATGAAGCAGGCCTGGCCACGCTGGCATCCACGCCCACATTTAGACTAGCACTCACGCTCACTCCGCACCCGCGCGTAATTCGCACGGCACTCACAAACACGCCAATCAAGGGATTAATTTCAGCCGGGTCTGTCTGTGGGTTGGGAAACCCTTTGCGCAACACATTCAGGTTACCTCTTGCTTTGGATGGGGCTTCTAGTGACATTTGGAATGGAACTCAGCCACCTTAGTTCAATTCCGGGCCACGGTCAACATCAGTGGGGAAAATCTGAACCGGTTTATGGGGCCTCACCAAGTGAGAAGCAAAGCCCTGCACTCACACTTCCACTCCTCCGGCGCATCATTCACACCGTACTCGACTCGTACCACACTCACAACACACTTATCCATTACTCCACTCGCATTTCATTGTGGTTTTTTTCCCCTCTCTGAGTGTTTTGTATGGCTGCACAGCAAAGCAATAAGATGCATTGGCAACGCATGGCATTTCGAAAACCGCACGACTTCAGAAAACCAAAACACCGTCGCGATGACAGAATAGCAAGGCGCAGGCACGCTTCAGCAAATACGGCCCCTCTTAAGAACGGAGAGAAAATGCTGCTTATGCTGGCTCGGCAGTCAGGTACCATCCTTACTTTTGAGCGTCTGACTGCGTGGCCATCCACAAAAGAAACAAACGCAGTAACATATTCTTGGTTCTTTCGGTAAAGTCACCACGTAGGATGGAAACAATAAAATAATAAAAATATAAATATTTGTATTATTACTTTTATTATTTTATTGTTTCCCTTCTACGTGGTGACTTTACCGAAAGAACCAAGAATATGAATCCCTGCAGTCACGAATGCTTTAAATCAAAATTTAAACGCAGTAACGTTGGGTGGCTATCCGCAGCTACCTACAGAGTTTTGAAACCGCTCTTAGATTCTGCGATGCCAAAATCTTGAAGCCGCTTCATTGTAAATTTGTGAAACAATCGTTAAGGAAGCTGAGACTCCTCTCTTCCACTGTTTTGAAGTTTTACTGCATCCAAAATGTTTTATTTACGAGGATATCTTCCAGCACATAGCCCTCGGCGCCGGCTTGGTCAGAGGAGTGATGCCACTTGTTATTCCATCATACCCCTTTCGAAATAAGCAGACATTTACTATAATGTCTTACGTCTATCTGCACGTGCTAAACTACGGACACCTTATCAATTGTAATTAGTAAAATATTGAAGTGATACTTTTACTGTGCTGTGCGATTCCCTTTGCATTTCTGTGATGTGATTTCCCGGCTGCGCCGCATTTTGCCTGGCGCGATGTCTGACGTCGCGAGCTGGACAGCACCGCCGAGAAAACCTACACCACGCATAGTTGTTCAATGAAATGTATCCAGAAATAAACGTTCAAAAATACCAACATGAACACGCTCGCGTAAAAAAAACAAAAACACGTGAAGCTTGTGCAACTTGCCTTTATCGGCAGCGAGACGTCATGAAGCTGAATGCATTCAAGGGGGCTCTGTAACGGCGCACGGCACGGAAAGCAGCTGAACATCAAACTTTTTTTTGTTTGTGACTTGCGTGGCGCTAATTTATCAAAAATTGTACATTGATAGATTGGGACTGTGCGAGGAAATGCACTGAAAATAAAAACGCAACTAAGGTTATGCAACTAAACATGCTGTGTTGTGCTTGTGTGCGTCGCAGATCTCTCACTGAAAAATAGGTCGCAGCGTGCGTTACTTGGGTTTCTACAGAAAATAATAACACTACGATAGCCCTCTGTCACATTTACTGCTGGATGAAGGCCTCCCCATGCCGTGTGAGCGACCGGGGATCTTTGACCATACTTCACCACGCTGATTAATGTGGGTTAGTGAAGGGGTGACCCAGTACTTGATCAGATATCGCTCGCCAACTGACGCCATCCATGGCCCGGGAACTGAACTCAGGGTTCAGGGTTCACAGCACGGTGGGATTTTCCCCGGGGTATACAGATATTCTGAAGAGTAAATATCAATTCAAACAGATGTTGTTTAGTTTATCGTACGATTCCGATAAAGCTACTGTGTTCAAGTTGTTCAACCTATTACTGTGCCAACCAACCACATAGTGACAGTGATTAATCATAATAATAATGATGGCGAAAGCAAAGTAGCAATTTGCCTCTCGGAGAAAGTGTTAAATCAGTAAAGTTACAGACATCGCATTGGGCAATTAAAAGATCAAGTAGAATTGGGCAGCAGGACACGTTGCCAGAAGTGATGATAGCCGGTCGTCATGACCTAACGACAGGGTAATTGGCAAAGGAGGGAACTGAGCTCAAGAGGACGGCCACCCCAGAGATGGAGTGATGAGATCGGCTCGTGTGCCGGAGCTAGACAGATCGTTGCGTCGCAAGGCCGTGATTAATCGGAGGCTTTCATTTTGCATTGGATAGATCATCATGGCTGCTGATGATGTAGATGACAACCACATAAAATAAATATATCATACTTGCGGTACTGGGTTTCCGTGGATTAAACGGAAAAAAAGCTTTAATCTGCTGTCAAATGGAGGTAAATCATCCAGAAGCTGACGGTGGTCTGATGGGATTTATCCGGAGGTGAGGGCAAGACACACGTCCTGTCACAAGGGCCGTCGAGACCTGTCGGTGAGTGGAATGAAACTGCAGCAACTATTCATAATCACACGAATACTATGCTCGCGTTTTTTTGTTTGTTTAATCCACTGCTGGATGAAGGCCTTCCCACACTGGGTGCTGTTTTAGGATACTTTACCACGCTGGTATGTGCGGGTTTGTAAAAAGGGCGCCCCAGAACCGGCTCTGCGCGAGATGTCACTCGCCACTGACGTTAGCCGTGACCGGGAATCAATCAAAAACCCTGTCACCTACTCAATTGGGATTTACACATTGCAACATCGCCCTCCCCCACCCCGCCCGCCCCACCGATGCAAAAACTTGGCAGTACCTTCCAGAATGAGAGACTTTAAACTCAGCGAGACTTTTCTGGTTGAAAAGAAGCGGAACGTTAAATGTATGAACTCAAGTCGCCGGCTTTCATGGCGCAGTGCGTTAACCGCTGCGCCACCGTTCTACCCCCAAAGTGTTAAACCATTTTGGATCGTTATTGTCTTAATGGGCCGACATCTCAAACAGCCGTAACAGACACAGCGGGCATACATACGTATTCCGGAAGCTTCCGTGTTGCCTCCGAAACGTCGTGATTTAACTTAGTTGTTTTATTTATTTTATTTTACCTACGTGACTTTACTGAAAAAAAACAAAGATTATCCGATGAGTAGTTTATGCCCTCGGCGATCAACGTGTTCTTTTAAAGCTGGTAGTCGTCATTGAAACCTAGTGACCACGGGATTCCATGAACGCAGTGGCTTTGCAAACCTTACAGTAATTCCTGCTGGGTGACCTGACAACCGAATACATTATCTGTAACTTTTTAATTATTAAATATGAAATTGTGTTGCATAACCCGATGCTAACGCCACAGGTACATGAATAAATAAAGGCGACACTCCTTTATAAACTACTCCGGGCGCATATAACAACAATTGACTCGATTGTCGATGTAGTTTAATTTGTATTTGAACATCGCCAAACAATCAAGCCGTTTAATCAAACGCGACTCTCAAAAAATGTAGGAGATACGAACCTTAAAAAAAACTTGTAGATTTCTATTGACATCCGATGAGTTGTTTATGCCCGCAGCGTGCCGCGGTGTTCATAACATGCCAGGATTTTGCAGGGGATTATTTTTTTTAACTGCACCATCCAAAAACATTTCCCCTCCAAGCTACGAGTGACTGAGTGTGCGGCTTGGACGGCGATGTGAGCGCAATTCCGCGGCGTGGCCCGGCACGCCTTTTCCTCGTCAAAAAGATGTGGCGGACGAGCGTGCGACTGGCAGAACTTAATGTCCTAAGTTACAACCTACACCTCATCCTACAGCACCTCTCTGCTTTGGTTCGCCCCTCTTTGCTCCCCTCCCACCGACGCGTTCAACCAAAACCGCCCGCACTTCCATTCAACTCCGTCCGCAACTGCGAAGACGAAACGATGCAGCAACAACAACAACAACAGCAGCAGCAGCAGATGTTACCTGCCGTCTGTGTTGGGGAGACTGCCCCCCGTCTCCCCGTTCTCCTGTGAACCGACCGTTCTCCGACTCTCCCCCCCTCGCTGCTGCCCCTCGTGGCATGATTTAAATAGCTGTACTAACCACCTCGCAAATACACCGCAGTGCCCTTCTCGTACACGCCAACCACGAGCTGTGCAGTGATGAGAGTACCCACGCGGGCAGAATACACAGGACACCACGACGCGCGGGCTCACAAGTTAACGTGCGCAGCGAGCACGCACGCGCGGGCAAAATATACACTTGTGCTAAAACGCAAGAAACCACAGCGAGCAGGCTCACAACACCGTGCACCCCTCTCTGTACTCGCAGAAACAACACGACAAGGTTTAATGTCTACTGGCGATTTATTCTCCGTTTAATGAAGTTTAATCTACTCGTGTCAGTGCGGGGCAGCAGGGCAGGTCTAACCTATCTCCCATCGGTCTAGGAACCAATTTGCCTGGTCTCTCCCCACTCAATCTCCTTAACGGATATTCCCCCCCTCGGCCTTACCTCTCTCCTCCGTACTTACGATCCGCTCTCGAGGTGTAGGTAGTCGCAGAGAGGCGAGGCTGCGCGTGGCTTTGGTTGGGAACTGGACCTGGCTGCTCTGCGACCCGTCTCACGGACGTTCGAGTAGCAGGGGACGATGACTCCTCGGTCCCTCACTCCAGAAGACCCCGAACACAAAGAGACCTTGCTTCTGATTTGCATCCCTTTTTATCCCCCTACTTTAATGCTTACGCGCCGCGAACCCGCTGGCCTCTAGGTCCAATCCAGAGCCTCGGATTTCCCGCTCTTGGCCAATCGGGTTATCCCCCTCTCCGACGCCCGCCCCTCATTGTTTACCCAACGTGTGCAAGTTCGTGGTCACTGCACACATCGTGAACGGCATCCTTTTGTACGCCCCACCCCCCTCCTGCCTGCCAATCCGCGTGTGCCTTGGGTGTTTCCTCATTGCGGTTCTCAGTGAGTTCGCCGTGGCCATACAATTTTAAGTTATTCCACGGCGCCGCAGTGTCATTCGGCCCGGGGGGGGTCTGCCAATTCCCTGGCCCTGGGAAACCGTGGAGCACCCCCACGAGGGGGGCCCTCGGGTAAAAACTCAGGGGCAGGTGACCCCCCCCCCCACGAGGCCCTACGTGAGTGCATGTGTGTGTTCACGTGGGGGGGTGGTGGGGGAAGCGCTGTGACGGAAGCCGGGTGGTTTCTCTGCTGCAGCACCCCCGCCGCAGGCACGGCTCCCACGGAGCGGCTTTGCTGTCGTGGCACCACATAGCCCCCCGAGGTGCCAGTCCCCGTCCCGGGTTGACTGGAGCACCTCACCTGGGTTGCTCCCACTAGGTAGCATCGCGGGGTCCACGGGACTCGCCCAGCCCTCGTGGCCGACCTCGGGAGTGGTGGCTCCGTCTCCCGGGGTTCCGGCGGCGGTCTTTCCTTCACTCCAACGGTTCTCCTCGGCCCTCGGCACCTGCGGGCTGGGGGACGAACTCAGAGGCGGCAGGGTTTAAGGGTCGTCGTCCCCGTTCCCCCCGGCCCAGGCCGGGACCCCTCGGGGCCCGGGGCCCCGTGGGGCCCATATACCGTGCGAGGCCCCTGAGTATAGGGGGTGTGGGTACCCCGGGATTTCGG